CTGCTTTTGACCCATCTTGGCTCACTATGGCTGTCCCTATTCTCCTTACTATGCCCTCACTAGTCCAAGTCAAGCTAGTTAATACACAATTAACCCTTAACTTGCTAGTCCAAAGTACCCTCTGGCTTCACTAGTCCAAGTCAAGCTAGTTAATACACAATTAACCCTTAACTTGCTAGTCCAAAGTACCCTCTGGCTTCACTAGTCCAAGTCAAGCTAGTTAATACACAATTAACCCTTAACTTGCTAGTCCAAAGTACCCTCTGGCTTCACTAGTCCAAGTCAAGCTAGTTAATACACAATTAACCCTTAACTTGCTAGTCCAAAGTACCCTCTGGCTTCACTAGTCCAAGTCAAGCTAGTTAATACACAATTAACCCTTAACTTGCTAGTCCAAAGTACCCTCTGGCTTCACTAGTCCAAGTCAAGCTAGTTAATACACAATTAACCCTTAACTTGCTAGTCCAAAGTACCCTCTGGCTTCACTAGTCCAAGTCAAGCTAGTTAATACACAATTAACCCTTAACTTGCTAGTCCAAAGTACCCTCTGGCTTCACTAGTCCAAGTCAAGCTAGTTAATACACAATTAACCCTTAACTTGCTAGTCCAAAGTACCCTCTGGCTTCACTAGTCCAAGTCAAGCTAGTTAATACACAATTAACCCTTAACTTGCTAGTCCAAAGTACCCTCTGGCTTCACTAGTCCAAGTCAAGCTAGTTAATACACAATTAACCCTTAACTTGCTAGTCCAAAGTACCCTCTGGCTTCACTAGTCCAAGTCAAGCTAGTTAATACACAATTAACCCTTAACTTGCTAGTCCAAAGTACCCTCTGGCTTCACTAGTCCAAGTCAAGCTAGTTAATACACAATTAACCCTTAACTTGCTAGTCCAAAGTACCCTCTGGCTTCACTAGTCCAAGTCAAGCTAGTTAATACACAATTAACCCTTAACTTGCTAGTTAAAACATCTGTACACAGGAAAACCACTGACTCTGAGAACAGGACAGCCAAGGCCTCTCACTGGGTGAAAATGGGGCTTTTAGTTTTGCGCGGAGAGATAAAATACGGGGTTCTTTTGACAGTTTGAAAGAATACAGCTCTTACCACACTGGTTGTTTACGTTTGTCCGTTTGATAACCATGCGCTGGACGGCATCGCCTCGGCCCGGCGCCAGGAATCTTCTGTATCTCAAACACGCGAGGAGAAGACCATGCCAGAGGCTGGGGAGGCCACCCTTCCTGGGCCGGGTCCGCGGCGAAGCCCCTCCAGACGATGGGACTGTTCGTTGACGCCAAATTGTTGTAGAATTACTGCACATAACAAGAGTAAAATAATGTAAACAACCCAGAGCTGTAATTCCAAACAAAGTGTGAGTTTATTAATTAGTAAATGTGCACAATTACAATGAATAACAGAACCGATACCAATACCACCTGGCAGCCGTCCGAAATCGACTGCCCCGATTGAGGAAATGACTGTACATTAAATAGACCAGAGTAAACAAACACATATCTACTCTAGATATTACATAAATGAAGTCAACATTGATATGTGTTGCTCAAGGCTTCTCTTTACGCCTCCTAACGCTGATACAACTCTGATATATGTAACAATCTGCTTTTGAACTGAACATATTGTTCTATGACCCAGGTCAAAGACATGATGCAGCACGTCTCCATCTATCACTGACCTGCTGCCAACAGAGCACTATGGCCTGTATCTGAATCCAGAGTTGACTATTAGTTAATAACTTACACTCATAACTATTTGGTGTTAATTCAGATTGCTTTACTAAAATATTTCTATAACAGTAAGTTTGCAGTTAAAGCTCGGCTACCTATATTTGTTCAAACCACAAACAATAGAGCCAAGAAACAACATTCCTCTAGTCTAGTTCCTGGCTCTAAAACTTTGGTTCTATCTCTACTTTTTCTATTCATGTATTTTTTGGATCAGTATTTTCAGATAGAAATAAAAGAAGAGAGGACCGCCTTAACTCAGACACTCAGCTTTCAGCCTAAAAAGACAAATTGTGACTCACAGGGTGAATGTGTGCAAAACATAAGGATAAGATGAAGAACATGTCACATTATACATTATAATACATACATTAACCCTTTAGGCGCCAGAGGTCTTTTTGTAAAAGGCTAAATTAATCCTAATTTCTAAATAACTTCAAAGTCATAAGAGACAGAGTAAAGGTCTTATGTAAATTACAGAAATTATAAGAATTTTCCAAAGTTTATTTAGGAATTAAATGTACCCGTATAATTTGCATATTATGACATCATAGGGTGGTGGCAATCGTGGATTTTCATGAAATGTTTGTGTTTTGTTACTGACAGACATAAAAATCACATGAGCACACAAACAGAACTCACACTGTACCACACTTGAGGGTCAGGGAAAGAGTAAAAGAGTACAAATTATTGAATGAATCTTGACACCCTGCTTTTTTAACAGTACCGTACACTGTTGACCGTGGCGTGTACGGGGTTAGGCAAGACTTTATATGTTGGTACAAACAACATGTATTTTTTATGAAACACAATTTATATAATGTCATAGAGCTGGGCACAACTGACATGGAATTTTGTTTATAACTTTTCAGAAAGAATACAGGGGTTTTTAGACAAATATTGAACCTGGCATGAACAAGAATGAGTTATGAGACGCTACATGACAGAGGGACTAAGGCTTTATGCTTGAGATTTTGTGTTGTTTGCCTCGAGTCAGCTTCAACTAGGCAATACCGTCCACAGTATCTCAATAAATACTGTACTTCACATTTTCATTCTTTCATTGATTTATTTATGCAGCGTAGTCCATAATCTCTGCCCGTAGCGATACATAGACAACCGCTTTGCCTTCTCTCTCTGCATCATATTAAAGAGTCCATCCAATCTGCCGGTAGACCAAAACCCTACCCCTCTCCCTCCCGCCGCTGTCCCCTCTCCCCCCCCCCTCTTCAAATGAGCTATAGGCGTCAGCAGCTTTTCCTTGGCGAGCTGCACAAAGCCGTCCTGATTGGCTCTTTATGGCCCCATCACCAGCCTGTATTCAAGAGAGCCACAGGCGAACGTGAAAAGCTTTTTGCATGGGAGCCACATCAAGCGGTCCGGTGGGGAACCCGGTTATGCAACGGCAGCAGGCGCCAGCGAGAAAAGTGAAATCCATCCAGAAGCCACATGGGATGGAAGAAGAGGAGTGGGTTTATGGGGGAACAGACGTGGGGAATATGTGTTTTTATTCAAAGCTATGGGGTCTGAAGAAAGGACTGCTACATGTAGCATATAGTCTTGTATCTAATTTTAGAACAATAAGCTACTATCTCCAAAGTGTAATTATAGCAAAAATCCTATGGCTCAGCTAAGATTATCGAAGATTTTATGTTAAGAATGATAGAGACGAGACTAATTATTTATCTTCTGAAATATTATTGATCTTGTCTGAGTGCTCTGAATGAAGGAGCTTATCGTACATTAAAAAATATATATTATGAAAACATTTACTTTTATAAGGTCTCCAGTTTATCAGCCTTTTCATTGTTGTTTTTTTGTGACTGGTATTTTTGTATGTGTGAGTTTAACTGAATGGAGCAGCAGTAAGGTTGTACTTTGGGCTAATATCCATCTGTAGTAAAGTTAAAAATTGCCAATTCACTTACAATAGATCAGAGAAAACAGTTTGAACAACGGGGAATGCAATGTTCACAAATGTCCTTAACTAAATGTCCATAAATGTCCTTAAATGTCCCGGATCATCACAATTCCGGGAATCCAGGCCAATTTCAAACTAGCCACAATAATAAATTCTAATTGTTTCTCTCAAAAAGCCTATGAGTGACATGTTTTCGTCATAATTCAGTCCTAATTCACGTTTTATGAATGAACCAAGATGAAGCAGAGAGACAGAGCAGAGCGTCCCGTTGCATAAGAGGAGGTGCCACTTTGAGACGGAAGCTGACGGAAATGTCAAGAGAAGGTGGCAATTTTTACAACCTCCTTTACACTTCAAAGTGCAAAGTGCCAAAGATTTTTCACAGTTTAGTAATGCCTCAGGCCCAGCTGTGAAGTTCAAATGTTGCATAATGTCATGACAAAGTGCTCGGTGAAAGACTTTTTAAAGACATTTTAAAATCCCATGGGAAACATACTGCACAAACACATAACGTCACTTTTAATGTCAAGTTTGCAAATTATGACAAGAAAACATTTAAATAAGAGATTTAGTTGGTATGGTATGTTTTTTTTTGTTTACAGGGACAGTGTACAATAAACATTAGCCAAAAACGAGAGATGCATTGTACCAGGTTGTGGCAGCAGTGCTAAGTTCCGAGATACCTACCTCTGTTTAGTGTTTAGTGCAGCTTTCAGAGATCAGGTGATAGGTGATTAATGCATGTTTTGTTTTAGTTTGATAGTTTTAGAAAATAGGACAGTTATAATGGCTTGGATCATCATCAAAGATTGCAGATACAAGATGTCAAAATGAGTTTGCTCTGTGTACACGGGAGACTTAGACTTAGACTTAGACAGATTTTATTGATCCAAGGGAAATTGCGTTTCCACAGTAGCTTGCATAGTATGTCACAATAAAAAATAAAAAATAACAATAAAGTAACAATCTAAAGATAAGAATAATTGTACGATACTATTTGTGAGAATAGAATAATCTGGATAGAAGTACTCAGGAATATACATATCTGTGTATATGTACACATTTACAGTATAAATTACAGGGAGGAGCTCAGAGTAGAGCTGCTGATCCTCCTCATCAAGAACAGCCAGTAGAGGTGGCTAAGGCATCTGCTTCAGAGGCTGAGCTATATTATTATTTTATTATTATATTATCTTAAAGAATAGAAACTGACTGATGTGCTTTGATGAGTGCTCTTATTTTTTCTCTTTTTGTTCTGCTGTAATGTGCACAAAGATTTCTGCTCTGAGGGACCAATAAAGGTTCATCGTATCTTATCTTATTTGTGTTGTTGTTGCAGTTTGTGGAGGCCATCAGTAACAAACAGAGCGAGCTGGACAACTACATCGCCGAGGGATACAAGAACGCCCTGTCTGAGGAACGCCGCCGCTACTGCTTTCTCGTGGACCGCCAGTGTGCTGTGGCCAAGAACAGCACCACCTACCATGGCAAGGTACCACCCATAAGATCAGATAAACGTTATTGTCCCCGAGGGGAACAGATCTGCATGAAAGAATTAAAATAAAAAGTAACATTAGAATACACAGAAAAAGTGCTGTTGTGGTTCGAAGTCTCTTTTTGGTCCAATTTCAGGTCAAATATAAGTGTTTTTAAAGTTTGTTTTTACAAAAAAAAGAGGGCGTGAAAAATTTGTGAATATGCATGTGTGTGTCCTTGTGTGTACGTGTGTGTGTATATATGTGTATGCGAGTGCGTGAGTCTGACTGTGTGTGACTATGTGGGACTGTGTGTGTGCGACTGCATGTGTTTGTGTGTGAATGTGTGTGCATTGCATCTATGTGTATGTGCGTGCAACTGCATTTGTGTGTGTACATGTTTGAATGCGTGTGCGTGAGTCTGACGGTGTGTGGGACTCTGTGTGACTATTTGTGTGCGACTGCATGTGTGCGTGTGTATGTGTGTGCATGCATCTGACTGTGTGTGACTATGTGTGTGCCACTGCATCTATGTGTGTGTGTGTGATGACTGTGTGTGTGTGTGTGCATGCGTCTGACTGTGTGTGACTCTATGTGTGTGCCACTGCATCTATGTGTATGTGTTCGACTGCATGTGTGTGTGTGTGTGTGTGCGTGTACGTGTGTGTGTGTCTGGGGTCTTCAGTGACGATGGTGGGTGGAGTGTCGGGGGGCGACCTACTTCTGCAGGAACAGTGAGTTCAGATGGAGCGAGTGGGAGTGAAGTGTTTGAAGCCCGACTGACAGCCGCCGCTAACACATGCTAACAGGGACTTATACAATACACACACATCACTTCCTGTCCTGGTTTTAACTGCGGATGCTAATCATATAGACCACACAGCAAAGTCCCAACACAAGTTTCCTCAAGGGGTCCAACAAGTTTGTTATGTACTGTAACTGTTCTATACTAAGCAATACTACAATAATTTAGGCGATTTTTCTATTGATTAAATAAAAAAATAGATAACTTTTGGAGATTTCATGACACTTTGAAGCAACTTTGGTTAAAGTTCTAACTCATCATTATGACAATATGCACAGGCAGTACTTTTCCAGTGAATGTTTTGGTTCTCTCCCTTATTTGCTTGGTATTACTCTGGAAATTCCCTTTGTGATTTCAGAATCTCTTTTTTAGGGGAGATTTGACATGTTTTTAGTTATAGGGTAAGGGTTAACCAGCACATACCCTAGACAAGGGAAGAACATGCAAACTTGAATCAAAACGTGTATCAAATCAAAAAGTGAAAACAAAAATAATGTAGGGATGCAAAGTTTTACCTACAATTCAATAGACATATAGAGTTCAATAGATAGAGTTCAGCCTGGCCCTTCTTCTATTCTTCAAAGCTATTTAAAAAAATAAATAAATAATAATGTCTACAACTACTCTATAGATATAATAAAATATATAATAACAAATATAATAGTATACTTTTAGTATACTATTATAGGTAAAACCTGTAAAATATTACAGGTTTGTATGCGTGTGTTTTTCAAGATTCAAGATTATACTATTAGTTTTAGTATACTTTTAATATTTTTTTGCTGTTGAGTTTTTTTCTTTTCTCCAGAAAGTATTAATTGCCTCATTGAATCTGACTTTGATATTTGGCAAATGTCATCTAAAATTGCTGCTCAGAACAAGTTTTAATTGACCGCAGTTTATCTTCCTTTCCTCGTTGACATTCATTAAGATAATTATCTTTTTTCCGCTCATAATTTCACCACCTGATCTGACCCCGTTTTACTAATGAGGCCTGAAGCTACTGCAGCAAACAACTTGCACTGTTTTAAATAACAACTTAAGGCCTCCAGCTTCAGTTTGAAGTTCAGGGCTGGAATCGTTCATAGATCTCACCGGTGGCTTCATTCACAACTAGAGATGAATCTATCCCAATTTTCATTCAGTTTAAGTTTTTTACTTTATTTTTCACACGATCACAAATGTCAGATACCGTAACGTTTTACTAGTGACCTATATTTGCATTTTTATCGTGGTAGAGTTGGGCTGTTGCCAGAGCAGAGTTTATGGACTCATTACTTTGACTCCATCAAGTTTTAATGGCAAACAAAACACACATCTATTGTCTGTGTGGAGTTTATATGTTTCCCCCATGTTTGCTCCAGTTTCCCCAACCTCTAATAAACATGTACAAAGGGTCTGCATGTAATCGAGTGAGTCATCATCGTGTGTGGAGTGAATGGAAAAATATATGTTCTCCAAATCATTGTAAAGCGCTTTGGGTGACCTTGGTCTGAACATTTGCCGTATGGATAAAACATACTTTCTTTATTAGGACAGGGACAATGCATTGATTCATAGTTACAGCAACTGTTGCTACACAGAGTTATAGTTAAATTGCTAATTCTAAAATACTGTCCCTGAGCTTTTTCACAAATATAAAAGGCCAATTTAGGCGGAAAAATGCATAAACAATATTCATAAGGTACACAAATTCAAAATGACCATATATGAGCACACTTTCAACAGTGTTTAAAATATGTGTTTATAATACACTGCCATTTTGTGGAGATTTTGTTGAACGAATGAACGCTAATGAGCGTGTCTTTCCTTATTCCCATGTAGTCAAAAACTACAACAAGTAAAACACGTGGTCTTAAATGATCAGTCTAATATATTGGATACACTTTAGTTTTATGTTTTTATAAGCACACAGGTTTGTATGCGTGTGTTTTTCAAGATTCAAGAATTTATTTGCCATTTGCAGTAAAACCACGTTGGAAAAACTGTGCAAGACTACCCCAGTGTGCACCGACGGCCCACACCAGAGCTCTTGCCATGGTGCCATTTTCCGGCGCATGCAAGCTGCCCAGCCTATATCTTTGTGATGCATGTTTTTGTACAGTCTCTGGTCTGAATTTGTGTCCAGGGCAAAGAGATGTTGGCCCAGAAGCTCCCGATGTGGCAGCAGGCCTGTGTGGAACCCAACAAACTCCCAGAGCGCGCAGTCTTCCTGGCCCAGCAGATGAGCGGAGCTGCGGCCCTGTCTGAGCCTCTGCCCGGGGCCAAACCTCTGCCCCTGCCCCCTGACCTGGCGGCCCTCAGAGCCAGCGGAGCCATGGGACAACAGGTCAGTGCATCCATCTAACTAAATATCCTGGCTCTAAAAACAGTTTGGTTCCATTACTAGTTTTCACAAGCATGTATTTTATGGTCTCTGTCACATCTTTAGACTGAAAAGTAGTGACTCACAGGGCTCGTTTTTATGTATGCAAAAAATTGTTTATTTAAATGATCCTGCCCTAGTCTGATTTGTTCATATTCACATTTTACTTGTAAAGACCTCCTTCTGCTTTCTGGGACAAAATGTAGTATTTCTAAATAAAAAATAATGAATAACCCTATGGCGTTATTTCAGTTAACACTATGGCCTTGTTTTATCCAAAGGCCATAGGATTAAGTTGTCTTTAAAGCATTGCAATTCAAGTTTTCTTTCTTCTTGCTTTCTCCAGTGGTCTGTCTCTATGGTCTGTATCATAGAAGGCAATTTTTTATAGAGGGTGTTATACTAAAATAGGGAAATTTGTTCATTGTAGCAATGACAATTCATAATAAATAACAAAGCATTGTTCTAATATAGCACTTTACAAAAGGACAATTACCTTTGCTGCAAATTAACTAATCAAAACAAAATAATCTTTCCTTTTATTAGTCAAAAGCCTTCACATCGGCACAGGAAACACAAAATGTGTGTTCAAGATGTTCCAATCGATCACACAATTTCACTCTCTCACGATGTCCCAGAGGTTTTTGTATGTTCCTGTTTATTCCAAACATAGAATTTTCAATTAATCATCTCCTCATGACCCATTTCCTCTTTATCGCTCCGATGCCGAGTCTTATGTAACGGCTGTAAATGCAGAGAACATTCAGCCCAATAGATAGGCAGCGAACGCATTGGCGCTTTAGACTTCAAAAACACACTTCAATTGGGGCATGCACCAAAACCATATAAGGTACTTGGCTCCAGCTATCTTATGTTCAAAGCTTGGATAAAACCAGGACAAAGGGAGGATTGGAATAGGACTAAAGTCGCTTCCGTTCTACCCAAATATCAACCCAACTCGAAATTGACTATAGCTATTTTAAACATAGCCAAAAACTAACAAACCAATGCATGTAGTGGTGTTGTTATATATCATCTTTGTGATATTTTTGTTGCAGATGCCAGTTTTGAACGGGGCTCACGCTGCAGAAGATTATCAGCAGTGGATGGAGGCCAAAGTTTCCCAGGGAAAATCATCGCCGCAAACTCACAGACACGAGGTTTACTCCAACACTCTGCCCGTCCGGAAAGCTGCTCCTCAGAAGAACAAGACGGCTCAAAGTAGGATTTTCATTCGACGTCGTTCTTTTACGGCTTCGTGATTTTAATGTTTTTGTTTGTCACCGTTCTTGTTTTTGCAGCGATATACAGTCCCATGCATTATGATATCCACACAAGCACAAGCAAGTCTATTATGTTCGACTATAGTTGACTAATACAATTAATCTTCTCGTGTGTTTTGGTCATTGCAATCATACCCAATCAATTCCTGGACTGCGTATAGATGGATATTGCTAAGTCTGACAGGGAAGTGCTCATGGACAAAGCTTTGCTCCAATTCGCTTTGGCTCCTATTGACTTACGTTGAAAAGTAAACTCCTCCAGCTCACTAACCGCCCTTGTCACACTCGATCCTGATGTTTTTACTTTTGTATTGTCTTTTTCAATCCAGACATGGGCCATGAGGAGTGACCAATCAAATGTCGAGATTTGAGGGTGAAACTCAAGCTTGCCGTAGCAACCTTTTTAGCAACATGTTAGCTTGTATTAGTTCCTGCTACGGCACATAGGCCACCCCGTTGTCACAAATGCCCTCATAAGGAAATGAGCTCCAGCTAGCTTATGTTCGGATCGGCTTCTTCTGCATTCTGCAATGGATACGTCAGCTCTCACTTCTACCATACGGTCTATGATTCAAATGGTTTTCCAGAGAGCTTCCAAAATCTAATCATGTGGTACTTGCTTTATTTTCGAGATAAGTAACTTTAGAGCTAAATTGCCAACAAACCAACCCTAATAAACATTACCCCTTTATCAACATTTAGCCAATAATACAGTTGAAGTAGACATTTGATTTTGAAGACTTAATTAATCAGGTTGTAAACATAAAAAGCCAATATCCAAATGATTCTTTAGTTTACTAATTGAAAACATATTGCTCACTAGTCCAATACTAATACATGATGTTGTCGTTATGGTGACGGCAGATGTTGTTATTGTCAAACTCAGGTCTCCTTCTGTTTCTCAGTGGAGACTCGCACGCTGCCTCGCTCCAGCTCCATGGCGGCTGGTCTGGAGAGGAACGGCCGGACGCGGGTGCAGGCCGTGTTCTCCCACGCCGCCGGGGACAATAGCACCCTGCTGAGCTTCACCGAGGGTGACGTCATCACGCTGCTGGTGCCCGAGGCCCGCGACGGCTGGCACTACGGTCAGAGTGACAAGACGCGCATGTGAGTTTGTTATCTGTGAACGCCCTGGACCTTTTCTTGGACAACTGATTTTTTAATAGGATAAATAATAAAAACAAGGATATAAATTTCAACTCAAATAACTTTATTTATCTGTGAAGAACTTTATTCTGTGTGATAAAACTCAAAGGCTCTTGGATCAAAGTGTCTCTGCTGAACACCCAGTTACCTCTTGATAACATAACATAACATAATGTTGTTGGACTCAAATGAATGTATTCCCTTCAGGCGTGGCTGGTTCCCGTTCTCTTACACTCGAGTGATTTCAGAAGTGGACACCGACTCCATGAGGCATCTCAGAGTTCACAAGTGGGTATTTTTTTGTGATTTTAGACTTTCCTAGAGTGTATTTTTCCAGATTGTTTTTTTTTAAAGCACAAACATGACAAAGCCGTCTGCTGTGTTCCAGTCTGCACCACGGGAAGAGCAGCAGCACAGGAAACCTCCTGGAGCGAGAGGAGGTCTCAGTCCCGACTCCGGACTACGGCCTCCGCATGTCCTCATACACTCTGCAGCGGCACCGGCCCTACAGTGTGGCAGGGGCGGGGTTCACACAGGTGAGACACACACTCAGACACACGCACACACATGCAAACACACACACACATACACACAAACGCATCACCCCTACAGTGTGGCAGGGGCAGGGTTCACACAGGTGAGACACACACGCACACACAGACATGCACGTACACACACACCACTAATGCACACACAAGATTTTTTTATCTACTTGTTTCTTGATTTGACTAAATGGAATATACTTTTCCTGATTGTTTGTTATTTTTGTTCTTCACACACCTAAATTTAATGTAGTCTCTAATAGGAAGGTAATGGGGTGATATAGTAGCCACAGGGGTAGTCGATTTCCAACATTAAGACTGTTTTTTCTTCTCAGTTTCAAACAAATACTGTAGTTCAGAACGTTCTTGTATGTCTAGACTGAAAAGTGCAATGAACTGATGGATTTGAAAAGTTCCAATGTAATAAAAGCAATGCTAATATTTCTATAAGCACATACAGTACATTGCATTCGTCACCGCTCTCCTGTCTGAAAACTCGCTTTTATAAGTGGTTTCTCCTGCTGCGACTCGAGTTATAAAATCCTTCTTGTTAATATTCAGAATTACACAACGTCCGGGCGTCCCACGTCTCACCTGCAGTCCCAGTGGTGGGCGACGCTCTCATTACTGCGTTGTGATATACCACAGCTGACATTTACACTCTTCCTCTGCGCAGATGTGACCAGCCAAAAGTCCAGTAGCAGAAACCAAAAGATACAGCAGAGATTTTGAGTCCAGTGGCATTAGTTGATTAAAGCTTGGGGTACCTAAATACAAGTAACTAGTTCCTCGCTCTTAAAACAGTTTTGGTTCTATCACTAGTTTTCACATGAATCTATTTGTGGCCTCTGTCCCATTTTTGCAGTGAAAAAGAGAGGACCACCATCACTCAGCCAATCAGCTCTCAGCCCAAAAAGATAGATTTCACTAGAAATTCTGCATGTCGTGGTCGGATTTTTTTCACAGCCTTGTACTTTTTTTGTATCCATTATATTGCAATTGCACTAGTGTTACTAATAATGTAAATTCAATAACGGCTTCATCTTCTTGTTTTGAGAATAATTTGGTATGTCTTAAAATACAGCTTGCCAAATGGACAAGGAGATAAACAATAACAGAAGCCGTAAACTATATATCAGAATAAACTTGTGTGTTTTTATGGCAAAACCTCAAGCTCTGAGAAACCTATTTTATTATCAGTCTCGCTTAATATTATTATTATTATTATTATACTAAGCCAGTCCTTATACAGTCACATGAGGTCATATTTGCTACATTTCCAGTCAAACAAAAACATGCACAAACTGGAATTGCATATGTATCTGTCTCCCCCTGCTGGACGGTTTTGTAACAACAGATTTTGAAAGTTAAATTCTAATAAAAAAAAGTTAAACTGATTCCATGTTGTATCCTTTCAGCAGGGAGTGGAAGATTATGAGCCACGATTCCCAACAAGGTAAGATCGACTTACTTCTCAATACTCGATATTTACGGTGATTCAACGTTGAAATTCAGTCATTCACAAAAAAAAATGACCATTTCAAAAAAGGTCAAATTTGATGACTGAATTTAAATTGTTTGAAAATATTCCAAAGGTGTTGGGTCTAGCATGGTGCATCCCTTTCTGTGGAATTGTCTTTATTTGTCCTAACTTTAGTTTTGTGGTGGTTGCATGTTGGGTTAGGTTTTGCTTGGAATTGGTTATTTCTTGTATTTTGCCGAGTCTTGCTTATGCCTGCTTTTTCTCGTGCTTTAAACCCATCTTTCATCCATTTCTGTCCATAGACTTTCATATTGTGGTTGGCGTCTAAACGAAAGAAAACAACTATAAGTTTCATTACACAGTTGAAAGGGAGATTTTGAGCAACGTATAACATGTGCCTAACAGTGTAAGTGGGAAAACATCAAATGGCAAAAGCATATATTCGTTTTTTATGAGGGAATGCTGAAATCTGGAATATGTGGCATAAATCAACACGTCCCTCTCCTTATTTTCTTTAAAAGAAACCTATACCCATCAATATCCATAAATGCATGACCTGTGAGGTTGTCCAAATTGATAACTAGCGCTTTAGCATTAGCATTAGCCTCTAGCTTTTTTCAGACCAGTGAAAGGTTATTAATCTAGAATAAAATGAACTGAATCAATGTGATATTAAACCTGATGTCAGAGATAATACATTATTGCAGTGAAGTAAGTAAATAAGTGAAGTCTCCTTATTTTATTTAAAATAAACCCATTCCCATCAGTATCCCAGCAATATGTAATGACCTGTTCTTATTGCTAGCTAGCGCATTAGCTTTAGCATTAGCCTCTACTGTCTTCAGACAAAAGTTATAAATATAGAATAACTGAATTCGTGTGATTTTAAGCCTGAAGAGATAAAACATTATTGCAGTGAAATAAGTAAATAAGTGAAGTCTTTATTGATAACTAACAAGTTAGCGTTAGCATTAGCCTCTAGCCTCTGTTTTACTTGTGGCCTTTCAAATAAAAAAAGAAATAGAAATCGGTCGATCTCTGATTCAAATAGAGAGCTGATGCCTGAAATCTCCCTTCACTTTCTAACCCATTCTTTTCACCAACATCTTCTTTCACATTTTTTCTTTTTGTTTGGATCTTGAATGGTTCTGACCTTGTGGATATCGTGAAATTTTGCATGATTCCGTCGCCGACTTCTCAGAGATAGATGGGGAGAAATTGCAGCGTTTTTGCCTTTTGTGTCCACAGTTCAACAGAGATCAAATTGATTTCGACAGTGTGAGAAACGCAAGAGAAAAAAAAGCTGCTGTAAGACTTTCTCTGTGAAATTCCTGCTTTTGAAAGAGAATGAAGCCGGGACATAGAGGGCGACTGGACTCTTCTGTGTTCGGAGCACGCTTGCCGGTCCGGTCCGCATGTTTATGAATTTATTTGGAAGATGAAATGGTGCAGAATGTTGTTCAGAAAATGGACGGACGAAGAGACTTTGAGATTTTGATAATCCTGATTTTCCTCTCGAATCAGAGGAGTTCCTCACCTTAGCACAACCCAATCTTTGTTCTGTTTTCACACATTCTGTCGTCTTTTTACACGTTTTTTTACCTATTTATATTGAAACATTTAACCATTCAAATCTGACCAATGCAACCATCTGTGTTATGAAAGCCATTTTTTTTTTAAAATAATGTAAGACATGAGTTCATTCATTCACATTGATTTGAAAGATGTTACGGTAATCTAGTGGTCTATTAAAGCAGTATATTTTTTAAACTCTTAGTTCAGATGGTTTGGTTATAAATGCGATTATCATAGTTAAATATGCAGTATAAATCATAATGGGAGCTCTGAAAAGCAGAAAATAGTGATTAAATATATTCAATGATTCATACTCTTAATTTTCCAAAGCATTGTTATCACATGAAATGAAAAGTACCAGTAATTAAGTCTATTAAAGCTGGGGTATCTAACTTTCAAACCCCAAATTGAACAATGTAATACAATCCGTGTAACTAGGACTAGTTTTCGCACGAATGCATTTTTTGCCCTCTGTCACCTCTCTAGATCAGCATTGCAGACAAAGAAGTCAAATAGAGAGGACCACCCTCACTCAGCCAATCAGCTCTCAGCCTACAGAGTCATATAGTGACTCGCAGGGCTCTTTCTTACAAGTATGCAAAATATACAGTTTTAAACAAGATGAAGGCTGTATGTTGGTCTGCAACGTGTTACTCTTTCAAATGGAACTAACCAAATGTATTAATTGTGAAAATAAAGTTTGACACCCCAGATTTAAGTTGTAGGACACAGGTCAAAGTAAAACAAAAACAAGATTGGTAAAAACATATATATCAAACTTGAATAATGGAAGGTAAATAGCGTTTTTTTTTTTTGTTTGCTTGCTTCTCAGGACTTCTGGACTTTTGACACCACGGACTAAAAGGGAAAACCTGTTGTGATTTTCAGTTTAGTAGATTCAAATTCAGTTTACACATCAGTGGAACGACTGAGCAAAAATACCCAGTGTATAACAATGGACAGAACTAGAAATATACAGTATTTTGCCTGAAACTAGTGAAATACCTGAATAAAGGGTCATTTTGTGAGTTGCCGATTCCTGTTGTTGCTTTTCTAATGATCGCAAATGTAAGTTTTCTGTCTTCACATTTGCAGAAGTCGATTGTCGGATTGGGTTGTGTGTGTTTTAATGTATCCATGTGACTGGAATGTTCTCTGTACAGAAACATGTGCCAAAACACGTGCTAATGTCAAATATTTACCCACTGAAATGCACTTTCTAACTGTGAATATAACCGATATTTAAGTCATTTTTTCAGACCTTTTACTTTCTGAAAATTGTGCTTTTATCTTGTCTGAAAAGGAAGGCTGAATGTGCTCAATTAAATGTTGTCTTTAAAACTAAAATCTGTGTGGAAAAAAGAAGTCCACTTTTTGTATTAATTTACCATGATTACTAGATTTACTTTCACACCCCACTTTTCAGGATTCAAACTCATATCTTCATTTTATTGGATGTGTTTGCACCGACAACTGTCCTGAACGTGCCACAATTTATTTATTTATGAAATTATTATATTTGATGCATTATGAATTCAAACAAGTGAGAATAATGACATGGTTCAGCAGCTGCAGCATACGTATATAATGGACTGTTTATAGAGGGACAATGCTAAGGGAAGTGCTCATGGATGCAGTTTTGCTCCAACTCACTCTGGTGCTTAGAATAAAATGAACTGAATTAATGCAATGTTTTATTTATGAAGAGATATTACATTATCGCAGTAAAATAAAAAAATATGCGTTGTCTATTTTTTGGAATAATGTCTCATGTTGTTTAGGGTTAAAAGAACCTTGTGTCTAGCTTTGTTCCACTCTGCTTTTGAGATGTTAGCTCATAGCCCTTCGCAAAAGTAGCAGAAAGTTTTTATTGAAAGTCTGTATATTTTAGGGCAGTTGTGTTTCCATGGCGTCTATTCATCATCACACTCCATCCCCACGACCTCTGCTTCAGCTGTGTCTGTTTTTGTCCGTCCAGGCCAACTATATTTCCATGCATTAAATGATTCAAAAGTGTGTGTATATGTGTGTGTTATTAGTTAGCTGAAGTACCTCTGACAGGTTTTTATGATTCTATGACTACATCACCTTCAGGAGACACAGAATGTATCCAAACATTTGCCAGAAATTACTTTAAAAAGTCTTATGTTTTAGATATTTAACAATAGCCAGGTAAAATAAAATGTTTCCATATATACAGTATTTATCAATATTTTCTGAACCAGAATAATCGCTAAAACTAAAATCATATCTGTCAAATTTGTTGCCAAGTCAGAAAACTCTTTGTAATGTTCTGTGAGACTGGAGTCGGTCAATGTTGTGTTTTGACCTGTGGTTTCAGTCCAGGTCGGGGTTTTGCTCGATTATAAAGACCTCCGCAGTAAGTGGCTCATAAATCACATATTTTTCATTATAATTTTGGTGGATTTCCTTTTGCATGTGGTTGTGGCTCTGTTTCGTTCGCTCTGTTTTGTCATTTGTCATTCTCTACTGTCTTGTGAATATATATATTTTTTGTGGTCTAAGTGATTCTATACATCTCCTGATCAGTGGTTGAATGTGAACAGGTATAAACTGAAAACGCCGTGGCCAATCCAAATGTACAGTAATTTTTCTCAATGATCATTTTAGATTGGATTCAGATAACTCTGCATTTATTTAGATAATATACACTTTATCGTCCCAAGGGAAATTTGCAGCGAGATAGAGTGCTACAACAATCTACATGAATGAATAATAATAAAAATAGAAATGAATATTACAGGGATAATAACAATAGACAGAGCTGCTTTGAAGTCTCTGTTTGGTCCGGATCAGCCTAAAAACAACTTGAGCCTATAGCTGTAGAATAAATGTATAAAACAGCAGCTAAAACCTGAATGCTAACCCCAGTTTTTTCTTTTTTCTCTCAGTGATCAGTACATTTGGTCGGTAATACGTTTTCGCTTTTTTTGGACATTATATCTATCGCACTGCACTTTAGAGCAGGACTGAAAAATGTAAAATACTTAAAGTCCTAGAATGACTGAGAGGTTGGTTTAGCACAACTTTTCTAACTTGTAAGCCAATAAATATCAAGCAATGGATTACAAATTAAGATTATTTCACCAGTTTATTTCAATACTTTTCCTTCATAATAATTGTATGAGCTACTTTGACTGTTATGTGAGTAGAATCTGCTCCTGCGTCTGCTATTCCACCACTGGCTGCGATGTATAGTTGTGTTTTTTGCCATGCACTGTAAAAATGACAAGAGAGGAGTTGCTTGGGGTAGGACTAGTTTTGATAGTGTCAGGTCAACGGGACCAGAGAGTTTAGGCTGAGGGAGAATAAATACAGTATAAGCAAATCAATATGGATGCTAATTTGAGCATTTTTGTTTTTGCAGTGCATTCTTCTTTTCACCATACTGTGTGTAGTGCATTGATCAAGAGTCTAAACCAGGAGTGTCCAAACTGTGGCCCCCGTTTCTCGGTCCTCAAGCTTCTGGAATAGACAGCAAATTCACATTATTTTTGTTCATTTTTAAACGTAATATCAAATAAATCGCTGATATCGAGGTCCTGAACTACACTGTGATACTTTTCATAAATGCGCCATATAATTAAAGTCGATTTTATTGGATTGCTATTGACTATAATTGGTATGCACTTTGACAAAGTCTGGAAAAACCAACGTAAAATATCTAAATACAATAATGAACAATTAATAGAGAGAAAAAATACCATATTTTTGTATCTATTTTACATATTTATTTATATATTTATTTATTTTTATATTATTCCCCTATAAAACTAGGTCGATATAAGAAATGATATCTGTGACACTGGTTTAAAACACCACAACGGTTTCTTTTCATTGTTTAATTGTTAATTGTGTGTGTGTGTGTGTGTATGTGATATTTCAGTTTGACTCCGCCCACTCTGCCAGGCGAGGAAGCTCCGCCCAAACCGCCTCTTCCGGACGACGCGGCTGAAGAGTTGGAGGCGACGACTTTAGACGAGACTCAGTACGACGTGGTGGAGAGTGTTTCCACTGCTGCTGCTGAGGAATACTGACACACACTGACACACACCGCAACAATGCGCTACACAATCATCATTAGCTCTCTAATCGCTAATCTCTAATCTCTAATCCAACCAATAGCAAGTCACAATCTCAATTCTCGAAAGACGAAAGAAGCCCGTTAAGGTTAATGATATGTGATTTGCAGATTTACTTTTTTGTAGTATTCTCAAAGTACGAGTCAGGATCTCCAGGATTTCCAGAATAATCTAAAATTACAATGTTATATATTTCAAATGTTTTATACAGGCAGATTTATTGAATGTAGTCAGATCAATTAGCACAATAAATTACACAAAGAAACAACATCGAAATTAATTTAACTACTTTAAATTGTATTCTTCAACAGTCTATGAACCACACTATAAAATAATCATATATTAAATAACTGTATACTAATGTAAATAATGGGCCTGAGGAAGAAGAGCCAAATGGACATCTATCCATTCATGTTCCCCCCAAGACAATAATCCAATCCAATGTATTTAACAGATCAGAGAAGCAAACAGTTCAAACACAGGACATGCAATATGAGCCTTTGGTCCATTGGGAGCGGGATGATCAAAGTCCACAAATGTCCTTAAAAGTCCCAGATCAACGTTCCATCCACTGTTGCCCTGGGCGACAGTCTGAGCAGAGACCTCCCCTCCAGGACACTTGGAGTATTATTGTTTGTCCAAAAAAAAAAACAACTTTAAAATCCTGTGTTTTATTATTGACGTCACAAATCATCCTAGGTCAATGAAAAACAAAAGTGTTCTGTAAATATAATTATAAATGGTGACATAATTTCTCTTGATATATTCAAAAGCAAATTCCATGTTGCATATAATCATTGTTTGAAGCCTTCTCATGCAATAAACATCATGCACTTTATGACTTTTGACTGAATGTTCTCCTTTGAGCTCTCATTCTTCAGCTCACGTGACCAGCGACCCCTAGTGGTACAATACTGTAGTTTATTTCATCATTTACGTGATGTATGTCTATATAATTTATCTGTATTTCTTGTTATTCCACTTATCATTTTGCACTTTTAAATTGCTGCTGAGTCGTTATAGAGAAGGTTTCAAAGGTAATGACAAATTCTCCGTTTTTCCCAATTCCAACTTAACGCCATATTGTTTTTCTAACTTCTGTAATAATAATATTAATATCAGTACACATAATGAAAATAAATAAATACAATAAAATTAGTCTTTGGTGTCACATGTTTGTTTACTTGCAATTTTCAACAATCTTAATTTCTTTTTGATGTAAACATGGCCTACATATGGTTTTCAATGCAGTCCAAAATACAGTCTTTATTTAACTCATAATGTTATCGGACTGAAATTCAAAATGTAAAAGGAAAAAAAAAGATGTTTTGATCAACTTTCTAGTGAATAGTTATCACAGTACATACTCAGACATGTATTACTTTGAAAGCTAAGCAAAATGTTGAATTGTGATAGTACTGTAGTCATCAGGAAGCTAGTTAGCCTCCACTGTATCTTCAAACTCCAGAATGGAAATTTCAAACTTTTTAACAGGTGAATTTCACCTTTGAAAACCTCATCTCCGACCCACTCCGCAGCTTCACGGGGCCAAGTATCGGATCGGTTTCAATTCATTATCTACTTGGACTGTACTCAAGAGTTTATTTCTAAACACGGCCTCTTCTCTATCAGGCTTAACGCTATACTGTGGACTGTTCCAGACAAGACAGTAAGATCATATACTGGGGCTGTGTTTGTGGATTAAGGCATTTAAACTGAAATTACATTTTTACTTGGAATAGTTTTTAGTTGGCTGATGGAAAACCTCGGATAGTGGAACCTTGGATACTGAATTGTTTTACTTAATGTGTATTTTCATATGAACCCCTTTTTGGTGGGCAAAAACAAAAGCTATTACGTCCTTACTTACATAGTTCCCACAGACCAATGAATGTCACATGACCTCCTCGGAGACGCCATCTTTGATGGCACGCTGCTGTGTTTGTGCATTCCATTAAACAGAAGAATGAGAATAAATGTAGATATTCAAACGCAAATTGGAAAAAAAGGGCAACTTTTGAGCAAATAATTGTATATTAATACAATGGCACCACAGTTTAACGTGCTACGGACATGTTTTACATGTTTGATCAAATTATGCAGCAAAAATTAACAAGCAATGCAAACATTTCTCAAAAACTTTAGATTTAATACCAGTTGGAGCTCCATTTAATTATTTTAATTATATTAACAATTAATTTAATTAATGCTAATGCCACACGGACACTCTGGATTGCTGTTATTGTTTATTTCCGTGTTTTTGACCGTATGTTTTGGTGAATGGTGGGCAACTGATTTTTCCAGCGTAAAGAGCAGTTTATTTTATGACACAGATCTTTTTACAGAAGCAATGCTGTTTGTGAACATTGTTTTAGCCCACCATAGAACTATTATTATCTATTTAATACATTTACGTTGCCCTCGAGAGCCTCGGACGCGACACCGATCCTCCTCATAATAAAGTAATCTAACGCTAAATAATGAAACTCTCAAGTTACCAGCTATCAGCATACACAAGTTAGTACTGAGTAAATTACGTCTGTCAACACATTATAAGATACGATACGCACCTGACACAAAGTGCTCCGAGCATATTCTTGCGTGTTTTGAGGGAGTTTCTTGCCTGTTTATCTTCGCAAGCCATAACCTCCGTGGTTGTTCTGACAAAAGCTTAGTCTTCTCACATTCATGAAGTCTAATGATGGGTATACTGTAAAATCCAAGTTTAACGGAACCTCCGGCACGATTTGAACATCCATTGACCCAGCAGGAGATGACCATTTTCAACTTTATCACGACATTAACACGTTTCAGCTTCTTTTTCTATTGTTTTGCCCACAGCATGCCAACACAAATGGCGCCGGGTCGGCAAATCCCCGTATGTAGTGACGTCATGTGGGAACTATGTATTGGCCATGTTTCTACTTTTACACAATGATTAATAAGCAGTAGTTGTAAAGTTATTTATTTATTTATTTTACAACCTGTTCTGATTAAAAGCATGAGACGATATCCGGATGTGTAAAACTGACTTTATTCATATTTATAGAAGAAAAGAACATGATGATTTGGCCAAAGAACTCCTGCCTCCTCCTCAATCAAACACATCAGTCATAATAGTCCATTTGACGAACAATACTCTTTGGCAAAAAACATAAGATTTATCAGTGAAATGACCACATCTGCAAATCTAAAATATTTCTTCGTCTACGCATAGAACTTGCTCCTGAATCAGATACAAAAATATCACTAACAGCTGTTGACATGGTTTATTTTACAGCTAGACCAAGTCCCTCTCCACACGCTCTGAAGTCTGAAACCAAAAAAGGCTTAAAATGTAGCAGCTTTTAAAAGGTTCGTATATGGCATATTTGCATTTGTGAATATTTGTATGCATTCTTTACACAATGTAGGTATTTTGAGAAAATATTTCAGTTTTGTCATTTTCTGGTAGATTCTTCTGAATAACACTAGTTCAGTGATTGTGTGTTTGGACAACCAAAATTTGGTCAAAGTTAAAGGATTGAACAATGATTTATCTTTAAAAAAAAAAGCTCATAAGCTAACTCATAATCACCTTACCATCAACACTGCTAATAATTAAGCTAATAGTAGTTGAATATCATTTTAGGGGCCACAGAATAGTCTGGCGGGCCATTTGGTGTTTACTGACCATGCTTAAAATGAGTTGAAAAGCCGATTAGTCCCATTGTATTTGTGTGTAAGAAATGGCAAGTTTAATTGAAGGTGTTTATGTAAATGATCAAAGGTGCATTGCGTAACTTTTCAGATGCCACCCATGTCTTCACTTGGAATGTTTGGTTGAGCTCGACTCGCCACAGTCACAGATATGACTTGTGACGACCTGATGCAGTAACTTGCTTCTTTCTAAAACACATGGACAATTTAAATACATAATTCCAGCTTTCAGATGGACCAGAGCAAAAGTCAACGTTCTACCAGAAAAGTTGCGTAGTGCACTTTTAAATGATTATTTCTTGTAAACTAAACCAAAGATAATCGACAACAAAATTATTTGACATTTGTCAAAGTTGTGCGACCGCCTGCAAACTAAATGTTTTACTGTTGGATACTTTATATTATCGTGCATACTTTGGTGCAGTTTTTTGACAAGAAACAATACACTACAATTGACAAAACTATTAATATATTTTCATATAATACTGTTGTTGTCAATACTAACAATAATTATATTATTAATAATAATAATGCAATATTTTATATAAGGATGTTTGACACTCAAAGAAACTTTGCGTGTCATTATAAAAAATACACATTTTTCAATATATTTTCCACCTCTACAAACTAGCTTATTTAGCTGTAAGGCAATCTGGACATGTATTTAACATTTGACCACTAAGTGTCACTGCACAAACAGTTGTTATTGCTCAAATGTCTCTCCCTAAACCCCAAAATACACATGGAACAATTATTATTGAGTAAATTGTACTGTTAAAATGTATTCCGTAGGTTTTAAAGTGTTGATTTGAACTACTTAGGCAGATAAACAGTAATGGCTTTCGAGATACAAAACACACAAAAACAATTCTTTAAAATGCAATCATTCCCGACATGAGTGGAGAGGGACTTTCCAGCGGTCTAAAAACACGCATATCTTAACTCAGCTCACAAAAACACAGAGAAAGCAACATTTAATTCCATGATTGTTGAGCCAATGTACAGCAGATGACAGTAACAGTACGGTCAGTTCTCCCAAATATAGAAAATGGCGTTACGGTAAATACTGAGCTTCAAATACAAAAGGTGAACGTCCATGTTTAGCTTGTAATTAAACGCAGTTCCTCAATTTTCAATATTTTTCAATAGTAAAAGCCACATTATTATTATTATTATCATTATTATTATTATCATCACCAAAATCATGCATTGCTATATTTTAAAACTGCATAAGTGTTCAATTTGAATCTTTTTAGAAGCGTTTAGTAATTATTGGATGATACAAACTAAGTTAAGAAGAATCGTGTCAATGCTTGAGGTGGTCCCAAGCCTGGATAAATATAAACGGCTGCTTGAGTAAGGGCATAGGTTGTAGAAAATAATAGTATTCAAAGTCCAGTTGTTATTATTACTCACCTTGCATCTGTCCATGGTAAAAACAGAAAAAAACAAGAAAAACGATATGATAGATTTGTTATTCACTTATTTTTTTATGGTATGGTTAAAATATGAGCTTCTATAAAAGTCTATGGATTTGTACAACTGTGTTCAAAGTGCAAAAAATCCATTGCGAAGCTGACTTCCATTTTCCCATAGAGATTTCCTATAAGCCTTTTCTCTGCTGTTTCCCAAAAAATAGACAATAGTTAAAGGTCCCATCTCCATCAACTTTTTTTTATTAATAACATTTTTTTTTACATCTTTTAATATATTATTTTCTCTTAATCTATGTATATATGAAATGTTTTTGTTTTAAATGCAGGAGGTTTTTAAAATGTCCACAGACAAAGGAGGCACTGTCTTGTATTTCTAAAACCTGACGTTACAGTAAAGTGAGAGAAGTCATGCAATGGTTTTGTTCTTTTTTTCCCCCCTCTTTGATTCAAAGGCAGGTCACTCTTTGTCTCCGTCTTCACTGCTGCCTGAAAAACAAAAAGACCAAAAGTGAGTAAATCATAACACTTTGGATTTATACACAGCTTATAAGAAGAACTACACATGAAACCCTTTGAGCAGTTGCTTAATTGACGATGGTCCACAGTAAAATGTTATAATGTATATGTATGTTTAAAATATAATTGTTAACAAAGTGAAGCTGATTTGTCCCATTTTTTCTTTTTAAGCCTCTGATTTAATTAGCATTTTGCACTGTTTTAATGTATGTGTTTTTGTATGCATTTTTATTTTTTTCATAATTGTTCTTTATTAGAATGAAAACATGATGTGGTTAATTCTTCTTTTTTCAGTATTTCTAATTTTAGTCTTTTTTTGTACATAAACGAAACACACACACAGACACACACACACACACACACACATAGAAAATTCCCCACTGTGGGACGAATAAAGGAACTCTTATCTTAGTTTATCTTACACACACACACACACACACACGCACGCAAAAATAATGTTTTAAAAATAGATATATTGATGTAATAGTTTTGCATTGGATATTTAAAGCTGGCCTAAGAACAAACACTACAATATTATCTTTATCCACCTCGCAAATAGACAGTTGCTGATGTCAAAGCTATTGAATTTACCTCCAATAGAATCCACATCGGAGTCAGAGATATGTGTGATGGAGAAGCGCGAGACGGGGGTAGGAGACACTGAAAATCTGGAGACGGTGGGTTTGGCAGAAGGTCTGGTCTCTGGTCTGGTCTCTGGTCTGGTCTCTGGTTTGGTCTCTGGTTTGGTCTCTGCTCTGGGCACAGGTCTTGGAGGAAGAGGAGGGGGAGAGTCCGGTGTGCTTATCGAGGTTGGCAGTGGGAGCAGGGAGAAGTCGTCATCCCATTCATATCCTGCACCTGCCGAACCACAAACGGACACAAAATGTATTCATGACATCACAAAAAAAGGACCATAGTCTTGTTGGTCTGTTGTTGAAATGATTGGACAAACTACTACTTACTCTCCTCTGAAACATTCCCATCAGAAGAGTCATCGGAAGCATTGACTCGTGGACACGGACCGTCGGTTGCGAGGGAACATTCGTGGACACACAGTTCTTTGGTGGGACTCTCCTAAAGAAACAAGCAACAAAGTCTTGTGGTTCCATATGGTTCTACACACACACATGATATCTATAGATAAGCTACTAGCAATTTCCAAAGGTGAATGAAGGTATGTGATCAAGCACTTACATAATTTATTGCCAAAAAAAAGAAAACATCAATGATCGTTAATTTTTTGTGTTTCTATCACCTCTGAAACTTTAACCTTTGGAAGGTCCAGTTTTGGCTTGAATTTCCAATATCCTGTTCTATCTTCACAATTTTCTCGCAATAATTGTAAATATTATTAAAATTGTTAGAGATAATTGTTCGAAATGTATCCTGCGTTTATTTTTGATGATGTTTATAATTGGCTCACAGTCTGTAAAACATCCAAAAACAAACAAGACAGATTGAAAAGAAGTTTAAAATAATTCCATAATCACATTTATTAGAAAGAAAGGCTTAGCATGTAATGAGTCTATATCATATATTAGTTTCACATTTGAAGTTGAACAACAGAAATAAATGAACTTTCAAGCAATTTTAATTTTTTTTGTTTCCCCTGCAGTATTGCCCGGTGTTAATGACTGATGCTGTTCTTTCAAAATGACAGGCGTGAATTATGTGAAAAGGGACAAGCTATACCCTCGAAGAAAGGTCAAAAAGGTGAATGGATGTGATTTAAACCAACCTGATCAAACAAATAGACTGTGACATCATCAAAGAATGACACGGTTTTCGATTTTCCGTCCAGTACTTCCTGCAGACTCTCGGTTGTTAGCAGCGTGGGCATCTTTAGGAGACTTTTCAGGTTTCGGGCTTCGCTATCATCGCTGATTACAACAGGAACAGGGTAGAACTCATCATCGCTGTCCTCGCCTCCACTTTGTTCATTAAAGGTTCTTACTTCTTCCTCTTCCGAATCCTCGCTGTCGGTCTCTTCTTCATAATTGTATGTGTCGGTAAGCGGCGGAGGCGGAGTAGAGGGAGAAGATGAAGACGACGACGAAGAAGACATGCGTCGAATGTGTGCATTTTTCTGCAAAGCCACTTCGTCTTTGGGCAAAACGTGCATTGTTTCTCCAACTCCTGCTGAAGTATTTTGACATTTCATTGCCGTGACTTGTTCTCTGGTTTCATCTTTGCTCCCAGCATCAACATCGTCCTCCATTTTTGAAGGTGGATCCCCAATAAGCGCTCCAATCGCTTCATCCATAGCACCAACAACTTCGGCCGCCCAGTCCCCGATATTTGAGTCATCTTCTCGAGCTGCCCATTCATCCAATGCCCCCTCTACTGAATCTAGCTCCAGCGAGTTCCCATCAGTGTCTTGATCTACTTTATCATCCTCTGCATCCAGAAACTCCTCTTCTTTAATCTTACTTTCTTCAGTTTCAGTTTCCTCGTCCCTGCTAGCATGTAAATCATACTCCTTTGACTGTCTCTCTGATTCATAATCCGAAAAATACGCAGAATCTCGATATGGTGTGTTCTCACTCAGAGGTTGCAAAGTTTCGTCACCTTTTTGTGGAATTTCCAGAGATAATTCTTGCTCTAGCTTTTCCTCTTCATCTGGGTCTTCAATCTCAAACTCCTTGACTATGGCCTCGGCTTCCTCGAGACTTGTATTCAAGTTATTCATAGCTTGGTCTCGGGTTTCGTGAGGTTCTTTTGGGACAAATTCTGGACTCTCATTGTTTTCTGTATCATATCCACTGTCCATTGCTTTGGGAGAACTTGTAGGGTAAGACGAGGCAGGACTTAAGCCTTCACAAGATCCAGCTGCTGATGGCAAGTCCATTGAATCCATAGAATCAGGGGTCCCAACTTGTTTCTGAAGAGATTTCATTGCAGGTGAGGCAGTCATTTCACTACATTCATCCACAAAAATGCCAGACGTTATGTCTGTTATATCATCTGTGGTGTCTTCTTCCTCATCATCGCTGCAATCCAAGATATCAGCAAGACTAACACTCGATCTGCCTGCATCCATACATCCGCTATCAACATTTTGACTCAACTCTGGTTGTGCATCCGAAACCATTACATGCATGTTATCAGCAGGAGGTGGCGATTTCTGAGCTGACAGTATATCTTCTATCTTGGCTTCAACTAGTTTATTTGCCACCTCCTTGACAACATCATCCCTCCTCTCTTTCACAGGTGTGTTCTCGCAAGATAGTTCGACATATTGCTGTTCGGCATCCACCATCTTGTTGTGGGTAAGCCTGGGCACAGCTGGACCTCCTGGGGCTGGAGATAAATTGATCATCTCTTCGTTAGATTGAACGTCAATGGCTTTGTCTTGAGTATAGCTGTTGTGAGGAGTGTAACTGTGGATGAATGTGTTGTTTCGGACTAGAAGGCCAGTCAGAGGATCAACAAAATGCGAGTGGCAGCAATCAGATGGATTGTCACTTTGATGGCACAGATAGACATAGGCATTGTTTTCTTGGGGCACTACTGGGTGATGCTTACTTAAATTAAGGCAAGCGCTGTTGTCTTTCCCTAAGCGAGGTTCAAGGTAATCCACCTGATTTGGCAACGAGTGGTAATCTTGGATATTATGCTCCTCTGGCCAGGAATCTTCAATGTCGGTGGTCGGCATGGTGTAGTGAAAATCGACATACGCATCTTGCCGACAGCTATGGCTAGCTCGTCTATTTTGGTGGCTGCTGTGGCGATGTTTTGAAGGCCATGTATTGCAAGTGTGTCTCTCTATGAATATATCCTCTTCGTCATCTTCCGTTTCGCTATCTTGATGTCCAATGTAGATAGCTCCTTCCGTTTCCATGTTGATGCTGATGGAGTTAGATTTTGTATGGCCTGGCATTGTTTTTCGTAACGATCCCATCATATCGTAGTAGCCACCAGTTATATTTTTCCCTATTACAGACGCATGCGTTGTGTCTATGTATGTGTCTCTAAAAGCTTGTTGAGGCGGCGTACTCTCTGTAGGAGATATTCGCAGTGGACTTTCGAAATCGCCCAAAGCTTGACGCAAATTTCTGGACCCCCAACTTTCTTGATGATGCTCCCTTCCAAACAAGTACAGATCCGGCGGCGATTGTTCATAGTAATAGCCGCCATCTTGGTCCTTATAGGAAACATAGTGACCCGACTGCCATGGCTGTAGAGGGCTCACGTCTGAGATCTGCCCCATAAGTGGCTCCATTGTCAAAGATATTGCTGGACTTGAATCATTTGAATCGTAAATGTCAGACTTATTGGCCGACCAGTATGGACCCATGTTTTTTTGTGTGGGGCATACAATGCATTCACCCAATTCGGCACTACCTGTCAAAAAGCTTCCACTGCTACCTTGGTATTCTGGGCTGTAAGAGCACATGGTGTAATCGGGATCCATGTTGCATTCAACTGGCTCTTCGATTCTTATATAATATTCGCTACCAATCGACGGACTATGAGCACTCAGGACAGGAAGTACACTTGGAGCGTGGAGGTGTTTGGATTGGTAGTATGTTGGAGGAGTGACTGCATGGTTCATGTTGTCGGATGGGCAGCTTCCAACGATGCCTCCCGGTGGATAAAACATGTCTTGACAACGATGGTCGACTTGGTTTACAGATTCAGCCGCCCTGGCTTGTTCCCATTTGTACTCAAAGTTTAAACCGTGGCTTGTTTCAGTAACGGTCAAAATATCGTCTCCCGAATCGGAGGGATAGCCATCTCCGGAGACGTTTTCGAGCAGAGGGAAGGAAGTGGCAGAGGATGGGGCATGGTGGTCGCGATTGGAGCTGCAAAACGCGGTATGGCTGTTGTTGGGGCGAAGGGAGTTCCAGCGGCGTTCAAAGTCCTCCTCGACTTCGCTTGCTCCTTTCGCACAGAGATAACTGAGTAACAGGTGGACTTCTTCAGCTGTGGGTCGCTGGTCTGGCTGCAGCCAACAGAACTGCATCACCTCATACCTACACACAAAGGACAAACACACCAGAGTTGAAGCCATAATTGCTCTGTGTTTTTTCAATGTAAAACAACAATATACCAGAAATTAAGTTTACAAACCCCAATGTTAACCATAACATAATATAATGTTTACTGGGGTGTACGTTTTACAAAGTTATTTGATTCATAAATGGTAAAACCAGTTGTAAAATCTGCAAAAACTGTAGCGTGCAGTATGACGTACCAGCGCTCGGCCAGGGGTACTTTGAGAAGGGGGCGGGGCAGTCGCAGTTGTTGTTCCCTCACAGTGTACGTCAGCACCTGTCGGTCTGAATAGTGTCTGTACGGCTGATTGGCCAGTTCAAACAGCTCCCAGATAGTGACGCCCAGAGACCTGCAGAGAAAAAAACGCATGGGAGGCTTGTCACATTTATAAAAAATTAAAATTAAGATTTTCTCTCCTTTTCTGACAATATTATTCAGAAATCCCAATCTGTATCCAATTGATTTATTTGGACAATACTTTAGAATTGAGCCTTTCTTACATCATTATTTTTGAGTAGTTTTTTTTTACCATATGTTGCTCTGTAGTGTCTGGTCGGCCACCAGCAGGTTTCCGTGCACTTCATCGATGAGTTCAGGAGCGATCCATCTTAAAGGGACGTACATCTGGTCTGAAGTCACATAGTAATCGTCCTAGACATAAGAAAGAAAATTAGGCTAAGGTTGTATTTATACATTCTATGAGACCATGTTAAAGTCTACTAAAGACTTAAACATGTATATACAGTAGCCTATATTGTTCAATTATGGGTGTTTCAGTCATTAACATCCTTGTAAACACCCATTCCCTTTGTGAATGTGGTTGCCATTCCCCACATCTCACCAATTACAGTAGTTTGCCTAGTGGTCTTGTATCTGGAAATATATAATAAAAAATTATAGTATGAAATATACGGAACCTTCCTGCCTAACTTTATAATTTTTTGAGACATGATGAGGACCCAGTGCGTCTAAAATATTGCTTAGTTCATTATGGAAGGTTGTCTTTTGTATGTAATTCCAAAACTTTCATCATAAGGGCAGGTAAATGCTTACACTGCACATTTGGTCCAATCATCTAGAAATACAATGTGTTATTATTGACGTTTAATAAATCAGTTTGAGCAAGATAAATGATGCGCGGAAATTATATGTACTAAAATGTGTTGGTAGTATACCTTGTACTTTGCGTGGGACAGCCCATAGTCTCCGATCTTCACCGAGACGTCAGCAGTAAGCAGACAGTTCCTCAAAGCCAGATCGCTGTCACCAAAAAGATAAAACATTTTCTTTATAGATAATACTTAATGAGAGAATAGCTTTAATTTGAGATAAACTCCTTCTTTATTCTTTATTTCTTGGATGTGCTGGGAGTCAGAAGTCATCGCCTGCAACAAAATCACTGATGCTGGAGTTTTGAGCAGCACTCAGACAGCACCAGGATATTGTTTCAGGAAGGGACCACATTTTCCAAGTCTAGGCGATGAACCATCACGGTGACATCAATGCCCAAATTCACGTTCAAAGCTGCTTTATCAACTTTTTTAAACTTCATGCCAGTGTTAGTGCTTCATAGTGTTCTTATAAAACATAAAAAACCACAAAGAATATTGAAGTCAATGGGGAGGCTAATGCTAATGTAGTGCTAACGTAATGCTAATGTATCTCAAAGGAAACAGTGCTGGAGAAGTAAAGAAAGGAAATCTCCTTTTTCAGTAATTTTCTTTACAATTAGCTTGTACCCAGAAGTGCAGTGTGCATAATTTAAAGCATTTAAAGCTGGGGAACCTGACTTTCCCTACTTGTAATTTAATTTCTTGTTGAAGTAAAATGTTGAGAACAAATCAGACCACAAGAGTGTCCGTCTCTTTTTTACGTTTTCTCTGATGTAACAGAAGCCAAAAATAAATGTTAAAAGAACCAAATTGTTTTGAGAGCGAGGATATAGAGACATGGGTTTTATTACGAAGATATATTTTTGGCCTGACAGATATCTATTCCAGCTTTAACAGTCAATTATGTCATGCATGTTTGAAACTAAATAAATAGTTAATCAAACACATAAAAACGAAAACAAATGAGACAGTTTTATGGCGTTGACTTTGTACCCGTGTGAGAAGTTGTGCTTGTGCAGATGCATGACTCCGGACGCGATGTCACAGGCCATTCTCTGCAGCATGAGCGGCTCAGGCGTCATGACCTCAGACCCTCTGCAGCTGCGCAGGTAACCCTTGACGTCGCCCTGGCAACACAGACACGTGTCATGCAAGGATTCGCCACCAGGAGGCAGAATAACACACAATAATCCTCTCTCATAGACTGTTGGTTCGATTGCAGTAATAACTAAAATTGATTCCACTTTCCAATATATAGTAGGGCTATGTCTTCCTTTTGTCAAATGTTTTATTTTCAGTTTATACTCTTTTGACTTTAATAATGGAAAGAACACTACACAGTAACCATATCTGTAAATGTGTCAATATAAGGCTGCAAAGAACACAGTAACATTAGAGTTGTTATTCAATTTGTCTGGTTTTTTGTGCCTGTTTAATGTAACATTTTTGTTTATTTGATTTTGAGGACCCTTGAGGTCCTTGGAAAATTGGTAATTAATCTCAAGGGGCTATTCCTCTTAATAGACTTTAAATAACATTTTAATCTTGTAAACCCAAGATTCATCACCCTGCATCTACCAGTGTCATAGTTAAGTCCAGGCTGAAACCAGTCCTTAGTCATGTGCCTTTTATACAACATTTGAAATTGTTATATATATGTATTTGATTTCATTATTGTATTGTTTTTCAGGCATTAATACTACTTTGAAAAGCTATTGGAACAACATGAGTTTGATCACGTTTTAAGAATACATAGTTCCTACATGACGTCACTACATACGGGGATTTGCCGACCCGGCGCCATTTGTGTTGGCATTCTGTGGGCAAAACAATAGAAAAAGAAGCTGAAACGTGTTAATGTCGTGATAAAGTTGAAAATGGTCATCTCCTGCTGGGTCAATGGATGTTCAAATCGTGCCGGAGGTTCCGTTAAACTTGGATTTTACAGTATACCCATCATTAGACTTCATGAATGTGAGAAGACTAAGCTTTTGTCAGAACAACGACGGAGGGTATGGCTTGCGAAGATAAACAGGCAAGAAACTCCCTCAAAACACGCAAGAATATGCTCGGAGCACTTTGTGTCAGGTGCGTATCGTATCTTATAATGTGTTGACAGACGTAATTTACTCAGTACTAACTTGTGTATGCTGATATCTGGTAACTTGAGAGTTTCATTATTTAGCGTTAGATTACTTTATTATGAGGAGGATCGGTGTCGCGTCCGAGGCTCTCGAGGGCAACGTAAATGTATTAAATAGATAATAATAGTTCTATGGTGGGCTAAAACAATGTTCACAAACAGCATTGCTTCTGTAAAAAGATCTGTGTCATAAAATAAACTGCTCTTTACGCCTGGAAAAATCAGTTGCCCACCATTCACCAAAACGTACGGTCAAAAACGCGGAAATAAACAATAACAGCAATCCAGAGTGTCCGTGTGGCATTAGCATTAATTAAATTAATTGTTAATATAATTAAAATAATTAAATGGAGCTCCAACTGGTATTAAATCTAAAGTTTTTGAGAAATGTTTGCATTGCTTGTTAATTTTTGCTGCATAATTTGATCAAATATGTAAAACATGTCCGTAGCACGTTAAACTGTGGTGCCATTGTATTAATATACAATTATTTGCTCAAAAGTTGCCCTTTTTTTTCCAATTTGCGTTTGAATATCTACATTTATTCTCATTCTTCTGTTTAATGGAATGCACAAACACAGCAGCGTGCCATCAAAGATGGCGTCTCCGAGGAGGTCATGTGACATTCATTGGTCTGTGGGAACTATGTATACATTTAAATTTGAGTTTCTGGCCACCAGGGGTCAGTATTATGGAGAGTAAAAGATATGTGCTTCATTTTAATTAACAGGGTTTTTCTGTTTTCCCGGAGAAGGCAATTGGACGGCATTTAGTTCTGGATGCTTCATAACTTTGTTACTTTTTCTGTATCTATATGTAGTGTTAATAAGTGTGTTCCTCACCAGGGGGCAGAACTCCATGACGAGCAGGTAGGGCGTGATCTCGGTGCACTGGGCCAGACACTGCACCAGGGCCGGGTGCTGCAGGGTTCTGAGGAACAACCACAACTGTCACTTTGTCTTTCACTTTGTCTTCAGGTTCATTTTGGCTTTTAAACATGATCTTAGACTTCAACAACATGGTACGGTCTAGTCACCCGGCTGTAGTGGACACAACTAGAGTTGGGTGAACAAAAAGAGCATTTAAACAGATTTCAATTGAACCGTGTCATGTTAGATTTAGATCTGTATGAGTCAGAATGTAATGTCCTGCTTCTACCACTAGATGGGATTGTTGACACACTAAAATGTTATCTTAGTAACAAAATGTGCTTTAACCCTTTAACATTCACGACTTACCTTGAAGAAAGCAACGTATTTTTCTTTTTTAGATTTTTTAAGATGTAGGAGCAATGATAACATAATTAGTTGGTTTTTTTCAACCCCTATTTTTCATTTATTTATTATTATGGGACTATTTAACAAATGGTTGAGAAGCAGAAGTTTAGTAAATGAAATAAATAAAACTAAGAGAGATGCCCCAAAGAGGTATATTTCAGTTTCAAGCTTAAAGTAGATTGACTCAAAAGGTGATCTACCAAATGGTTGAGGAAAGCGTTATGGGGTTAAAGGCCCTACATGGCTTTGCACCAAATCTATCACGTTAGTGCAGGGGTCTCCAACCTGTGGCTCAGGAGCTACCAGTAGTTTGCCAGCCCCTTCCAGGTAGCTCCCCAAAGGATTTAGAATTCAACCCATGACATTTTAAGTCATTGCATATAAGTATTAATATAGGTTTATACAGTATTATAGTATATTTTGTGTTCTCCATGTGTCTTCTGTAATTATTACAAAGATTTGTATTATGATTTTTAATTAGGAGTATAGCTCTCAGCCTCTTTTGTTATATAAAAGTAGCTCTCTGATAGGGATAGGTTGGAGACCCCTGTGTTTGTGCCATTTGAACCAACTCGGACTCTGAGGAGCACAGAGACTGGCCTGCTGGGACTCTGAGGAGCACAGGGACTGGTCTCCTGCTGGGACTCTGAGGAGCACAGGGACTGGTCTCCTGCTGGGACTCTGAGGAGCACAGGGACTGGTCTCCTGCTGGGACTCGGAGCCGTGGGACTGGTCTCCTGCTGGGACTCTGAGGAGCACAGGGACTGGTTTCCTGCTGGGACTCGGAGCACAGGGACTGGTCTCCTGCTGGGACTCTGAGGAGCACAGGGACTGGCCTCCTGCTGGGACTCTGAGGAGCACAGGGACTGGCCTCCTGCTGGGACTCTGAGGAGCACAGGGACTGGCCTCCTGCTGGGACTCTGAGGAGCACAGGGACTGGCCTCCTGCTGGGACTCTGAGGAGCACAGGGACTGGTCTCCTGCTGGGACTCGGAGCACAGGGACTGGTCTCCTGCTGGGACTCTGAGGAGCACAGGGACTGGTTTCCTGCTGGGACTCGGAGCACAGGGACTGGTCTCCTGCTGGGACTCTGAGGAGCACAGGGACTGGCCTCCTGCTGGGACTCTGAGGAGCACAGGGACTGGCCTCCTGCTGGGACTCTGAGGAGCACAGGGACTGGCCTCCTGCTGGGACTCTGAGGAGCACAGGGACTGGCCTCCTGCTGGGACTCTGAGGAGCACAGGGACTGGTCTCCTGCTATAGTACCCAGAGTCAGGACTAAACATGGGGAGGCAGCGTTTCAGATTTTGTACAACTAAAAGTCTTCCTGAAAATGTTAGACAGGCTTCTTTTTTGACAATGTTCAAAATCTTGGTTAATTTACTGTGATTCAAGGGCCAAAATTAGCACAATACTACATTTAACCCTTTTATGTAAAAAAAAAAAAAAAGATCTTGTCACATAATGCACATAAGATTAATCTATTTTTGATGTTTTTACCGGAATGCCTGCGCCTCCTCCAGGAAGTGCACTTGGTCATGGACCCCAGCGCTGGACTTCAGTTCCTTGATAACGACCTGAGTGGTTTTGAGTCCGGTGTGGATCTCCCCGAGCAAAACCTGAGGACGGACACGGAGACGCATGGAGACAATGGAACACGCACAGGACGGCATAGAAGAACACACAAAGACAATGGAACAAAAAACACCCACACACACATACAGACACACACACACACACACACACACACATACAGACACACACACAGACAAACGTATATGGACACGAGACAGGGATGGACGTACCAGTCGCGGATGAAAAGACCATTCATGAGATGGGACGGACAAGAGAAAGACATGAGGTTATTGTAGTCACAGACAAGTTAAGTACAGAGAAAAGAATGCCATATTTCACTGGCACCATATGGAAAGGTTTATTATGGAAAATATATAAAGGGAAAGAATGCATATGTACTGCCAAAAACGGTAAAAAAGACACATTTAAAAAAGAAAAGAACAAAAAAAAATCTAAATTGGACTATAATCAGCAGTTGCAAATCATAAATAATAATAGTAATCATAAAAATAAATACAAAGAAACAACAGAAAAATTGAAAAAAAAATATTACCAAGAACGTTAGACATGGACTATTCCGACAATAATATAGATCTGTTGTATAATATCACATTTATTAATACAAAATTTATAAAACACAAATTTGGATGTGATATTTTGTCTTGTTTTAGTCCATGTCACCCTACACTTTAAAATAAACCTGTAATGAGGGGAATACATGACCTGAACTTAAAATCTGGCAAAATAAAGTTTTTCCTAATTCAAATACATATTAAATTATTCTTGATGATTTCTTCCAGCTATTTAGAAAGATATTCAACTAATGTCTCCAAGTTATTTATGGTATTGTCAAACACTGTGTGGAACTTTGCCTACATTTTTCCAGACAGATGCTATTTCTTTGCTTGCGATTTTCAACAATGGGCCTTCAATAATGGGATGTATTTTGCATTTATGTCTGTGTATGGTTACTTCTTGAAACATTCTCGACAGTCAGACCAAGATCATTTAAATAGTATTGAGAAAATTATGTGGAAATGTAGGCCGATTTAGTTGAAACCAAGACAAAACCAATATTAAAACATATCAAAAAGGAAAAAGGGATTTGTCTTTTGTTGCATGACCTACCTTCCCAAACCACCCATGTCCGATCTCCTTCAGGTAGAGCAGATTGTGGCGGCTCAAATCGGACGACTTCGGGAGTTGGACTAAAAAGAGAAAAAATAATGTTGGTTTTTGGCGATATTTTATGGTAAATCAAATGATTCTGATGCCAGAAATCAGAGCAAAAACACATGTCCGGTGAGTGTTACATCAAGATATCAGGTCAAAAATTGGGAAAAAAAATATTGTTTTTTTGTTGCATATATTAAACTGTGTAACTCTCCCTGGATACAGCAAAAGGAAATGGAATGGACGCTTCCAAAAAAGAAATAAGCAGTTTGTTCAAAGTGATTTTTAACCTGCGAGAATCCGTTTTTCTTTTTTATCTCATCGTAAGTGTGATGTGGTTAGATTACACATTCACATTTTTTAAAAGTCTGATCACTTCTTTTTGTCAGTAGATCACAGAACTTTATCTGACATTCTTTTATACGTTTCTAGTTTGTCATAAAGGCTGGTGGATTTTTGAATGTCGCGATGCCGTCCTAAACCCAGCGATGTGTTTCGGGAATACTGTCTTATAGTTTCTTTAAAGCATCAAAATACCACAGCAATCCAGCAAGAACAACAGGAATACATTTCAAGAAGAAAGAAGAAAAAAATCAAACAAGTTGTAATCTATTCCTGCGTTATTGATCAACATCTAGTCCTAATTTAGAGTTTTAAAATCTAGAATGTTTTACCTTTTTTATTGAATGAAGGTAATTTTGCGACAATAGCAGTGTCCAGGGAAAACAGGATGTAAAAAGATTGCTGAGGTGAAAAAACTAGAACATTAATTCTATTCATTATTTCAAATTGTTGAAAAAAATTAAATAAAAGAGAAAAAAAATACACACACAAACAGATCCAGAACAGAAACTAGAAATAAAATATTGAAAAGGGAAAGATTTACAACATATATGAATATAATGTATATTAATAAGCAGAATAGGTTTTCAAATAGATTTAGGCGGCACTGTTACTGACTGGATAGCACTCTTGTTTCTCGGCAAGAAGGTCCTGGGTTTGAATCCCGGTCGGAACAGGGTCTTTCTGAGTGGAGTTTGCATGTTCTCCCCGTGTCTGCGTAGGTTTCCTCCGGGTGCTCCGGTTTCCCCTACCACTAAAAACATGCACACTAGGTTCTGGCATGTGCCTCCTGTATTGGCGACCTCACTCCCATCTCTGTGAGGGACAAATACCCACAATTGTAAACCGCTTTGTGACTCTGGTCTGTGAAAAGCGGTATATACATAAAGATTACTTACTTAATTACTTATATTTTCTATGCATCGTCTCTGATCAAATAATTACATCCAAATCCAATCCACATGAATCTCTATTATTTCTTTTTTTTGTATAATTTACTTTGGAGTTTTTGCCTTTAGAGTTGATCAAAATGTCATAATTCAGAAACATAGGACACAATTCAACAAATACAACGCAAATTAAAATGATGTATTATTTCTTTTGACATACCTTGACTGACTTCATGTCCTGAGTTAATCCTGCCTTCGAACAATCCTTCCCCATTATATTATTTGCAAATTGGAGGAAAAAAAAGAAAAAAAACTTGACCACTACTTCTGGCTACGTCTTTCGCTGTTGTCCACTCCTGGTTTGACCCTCTGTGTGTCTCCTCTGGATGTCTATGCTCTGGGACACACACACACACACACACACACACACACACTCGTGCCTTTGTGGAGCCGGACAGTCCATTCTTTGTTTTCTCTGTTGCGAGCAGATCTTTGTCACTTTGCGTTTCTCTCCCACTCTGAAGCAGCGTGGTCCCGTTTCAGACCGACGTAAACCAAACACAAGGCCATTATGAGGCTCGGTGATGTGCCGCCTCCTCCAGGACACATCTGCATCTAAATCAGAACCTGCGCAAACACGCGACGGGACAAAGGGCGCGGTTGTGAAATGTCAAAATATTGTTTTGTTTTTTGGAAATGTTGTAGCGTTGTTTTCATGGGGATACGTGTTTGTCTTGTTTCATACAACATTTTATTTTAATGTTTTTCTGCACTGTCTTCTCCTTATGTTACAGAAAAGAGCAAATCATAAATAATAATAGTAATGAAGTAATGCATAGATAAATATAGCAAAAAGATAAACTATACAAAGTAACCAATAGAGACACACAAAAAAAAAATGAAAAAAATAGAAAATACCAAGACATTGAGTATTTCTATACATATATAGAGATATTAGATCCATACAGATCTATATTATCAATTTGGATGTGATTTTATTATTTTATTTCTTCTTATACTCGATACAACATTCATTTTGGGAATTGGAAAATGCAACACGCAACGTCCCTTACTTTTTTGTTGAATAATTATTTTTAAAATGAGGTTTGTCTCAACAGTAAGTAAAAAGTAAAATGTTGTGAACAATTCAGCCGACATCATTTTATTGAAAATTTTTTTCCCCTTCTTTGTGTGAAAAATCTGATCAAGAAATACATTAAGAACAAATCTGAGCAAGAAAATATGGGTTTTGAGTCATAGTTTTTGTGTATAGTTTAAAAGTGAGATATTCCAGACTTTAACAACCTGAAATGGCTTTATCGGTGATAACATTGTGTACTTGACTTAAAAAAAGGAGCACTTAATTATCAATATTTTTTCCCACTACATTTTCAGCTCATTCCTTGCCGATGCAGGTGGGTCCAAGGACAATGACGATCCGGGACTTTGAAGAACATTTATAAACATTTTTGGACATTTGTCGATAATAAATCCAGTTGAATTACAAACCCAAACGCCAAAGACATGACAAGACTCCGGTTGTTGTGTTAGTACATCTGTGTTTGATCAGAGAGTTTTTTTATGTGTTCCATCTGGGGTGGGTGGGTGTGGGGTCTCTGTAGTATTACACAGCTGTCTCAGGGCGGGCCCAGGGCTTCGGGGTCCAGGACCGAGTCAAAACACTTCAGTCCGATGAAAAAATGCACTACTCAACGCTGGCAAACGTGAAAGACAAAGTGTTGCGGTTGCACACAGATGTGGAATCTAGTTAAATGTTGAATGAAATTACAAAAAAAAATAATCTCTCTGATAAAGTGATAATCTACGGCAATGATTTTCAGGCAGTGTGTTAAGGGATGTGAGTACACTGTAGCTTGGTAATATTACAGCAGAAAATGACTTAGGCATAGAGTTAATGCGGTTTGAATTAACCTGAAATGGGAAAAAAGCACTAAGAAAACATATACTTTACTTCTTTTCAGATAAGAAAGCTCGTCTGCGCCTCTTCGTTCTGCGTAAACTTATTCGAACTCTAAGATCCTAAATCTAGATCTAAAATACTCCTCCATAAACCACCCTCTTCGAGTCTATTCCCGTCCCCTGTCCAACCCTAACCCGAACCCTAGATTCTAAAATCATTGGGACCTTCCTGGTTAAAGCTGCACTAACTGACTTTATTATTGTATTCATCACGAAATTTCAGTCCTTTTGAAGAAAAAGTAGTGCAGATTTCTGCTGGCGTGTCATTCCGATGCCTTCGTTACTGGTTACTGCTTACACAGAGAAACATCCATCCCAAAGAAAGTCTCGTTCCTCCGCGCTTCCCGGTTCTATCATTCTATGGTCACGCCATCCACGTGCGAATGTGCGGCCCATATTGTGAATCGTGAGCTCCGTATACAATTAGCCAGCATGTGAGCGCAGGCTGAGGGGGAGGGGGGTAGTGGGGGACGAAAGAGCGAGCTCACGGCTCACATTCGAACATTTCTCAGTCATTTAGTGCGGCTTAAAATAAAGCAAAATAAAAAATGTACTTAAGTAAGCAATGAATAATACAATTTAGCCTTTATTGCAGTCCAAATTATCCTAAGCAAGTCCAGCAAGTATGAAAGTGTCAAAAGATGCAAAATTCTGACTCTGGATATTCCATGTACCATATTTTTTCCCCCACAATCTATTCCGTCATTCCAATATTTGTCCATAGCTAATGACCAGAGGCCTCATAAATGGTCGACTATGCTACATCTCTACTCTGCATACATTCTCATATTTGTAAACGGACATTTTGGGCCGATCTTTGTCATGTTCCAGAGTCCTCCGCGGGTCTCAGCGACTGCGGAGCCACAGATGGCCGTTTCCTCTCACATTTCTCACATTCCTGAAGCTTGGACCTCGTTACACAAGAGCCAGATGTTTGTGGGAGAGAGCGCAGTTCACGGCTGCACTGAGGGATTGTGGGATATTTAGGAGGAGCCGGGCCGATCGTGTCCAGCAGCAGCAGGGAGGAGAGCACCCATGGGAGTCCTGTTGAGTCACCGTGAACTGGCCTCACGATACATACGCCCTCAGAGCCCGGGAATGTGAGGGGAGCGGCCAGTTCGTATCGGATTACCGCGGGATTACATCAATGTGAGGAGTACTTTTGGTCGTGGAAGTAACAGCGGTAGTTTAGACCAGGCTGAAAAGATTTAGTTTTTATGGGGTAATACTTGGAACAATGATTTCTGGTGCTGATGCTACTTTTTGAGACCCATTCTTCTATTAAAAATCAAAAGTCATAAAAATCAAAAGTCATAAAATCAAAAGTCATAAATTATTGTCATGGGGTGTGTCTGCTTTTAAATTGGATTTACAGTCTGTAATTAAGAATTGATTGATTTTTTTGTTATACATTTTTATACTGGAAAAATCTGTTCTTCCCATCCTTCAATGCCGAGCTGGAGGAACATAATAATCTAATGTACATGTTTTTAGTGGTAAAGGAAAACAGAGCACATGGAGGAAATCCTTGCAGACATGGGGAGAACATGCAAGAATGCCATTTTCCAACCAGGATTTGAACAAAGGACCTTTTTGCTGGGAAGCGAGCATACAAGCCACTCAAAAAAAAAAAACATATGGTATTAGATGGCCAGAATGAAATCCAAAATACCAAGATATATTTGAAACACATCCATTAACTCGAATATTACATGTTGCATAGATGTCTAATGATGCCTCCTGAGTGTGTGCACGTTTAATTTGTGATTCTGACCAATATAAAACCAAATATTGGATGAAAACGTAGTGTATTTGCTGAGTATGGATTTGATCTGCCTGCTGATTTGATCTGCCTGCTGATTTGATCTGCCTGTTGTCCAAAGTTGTTGTCTCGTATAAAATCCATATTCCATGAAAAGCCCGTTCTCAGTCTCACCTGATCGAGCCGGTTGCTTGGCGACGGGCAGCGACACTTGACTGAGGGGCAGGATGTAGACGTCAGGGCTGCCCTGGGACGGCGACGCCATGCACAAGTCGTGCTCCACATTCTGGAACTCCTGAGACACAGAGCGTCGGGGTTGTTAGGGTCATTATTAATGCATCGGTTTTATACAGTGCTTTGAGATGTAGATACATGACCTCAAGACCCAGAAATATGACTGAACTGCAGCAGTTTTGTAAAGAAAAATGGTTAAAAATTGATCCTGATCGATGTTAACCAGAGAAAAGGGTCATGGGTAGAATTTAATATTTCCAGATGCGGAAGAAAAATGCATTCTCTCCATTTCATTTTCTTTGATTTGACTTTTAAGCGAAAGTGTCTTATACAAGTGAAATGTTGTGAACAAATCAGACTTTTTCCTCATCACGACAAATGGAAAATTACCTGCATGACTCTACAAAAATATTGCCATAAAACTATACATAATATGTGAAAAATAAGTGACAAGTTCTTACACTTTTATTAGTGCTATAAAACATTTAAATTGAAAAAACGGTATTATTACAATTTTGCATTAAAGTCACGTACGGGAGCTAAACCATGTTGCACTAAACATGTCATAATTACATACAGTATTTAACTGGCTGTTTTTAAACAACACAGCTCAAGCTAGATACAAATGTTGACATAATAGATATTTTTTGACACATTTAAGGTTTTGGAAAGAGAAAGGAGACATGTGCAGTTAGGACAAACTATTCGTAGCTTAACCCTTTAGGCACCGGCATTTTTGTTATTCATTTGTTATTTTTTTACATTCTGTTAATTGGGTTTTCACAAATGTATCCAGTTTGGCAATCCAACAGAAACACTTAAATGCACAGTATAAGATTTATATGTTATGTAAACGGACATTTTTTGGAGTAATGAATTGTGAAGCAAACAATGCATACTGTAGAGATACTTTAATAAATAACAGAAATACATAGAAAATAATTATGTGCGAATAATGTAGGGATGCGTTTCTGGGAAGCCAAGTCACTGTATAGAAAGTGTCATGGGTTTATGAGCAATTCTGTTACTTTGGCCCCAATAAAGGGTTAAATCATGAATAAAAGAAGCCTCGGTTTGCTCCTCTATAGACACATACGTTATCAAGGCTGTGCAGGGAAACATCAAAATTCTTGTCTCGAACATAATTCTTGGCACTTAAATTACTTAGAGATGGCTTATCTCCGCGGCAACAGAGCACTCATAGGCGCGTCTTGTGTGTGTGAGAATAAGTTGGGGTTTGAAGTGGTCGGCATGGAGGGATGAAGAGCAGGAAGTGTAGGAGGAGAATAGAGGGTCAGTGTCCAGAGACCGGACGTCCATAAAGCTCTCTCAGTTCAGATCGGAGCCGGAGAAATGTCCCAGCGCTGGAAAAATGTGACCCTTGCACACACAAAGCTGCACACGCAACACACACACTCTCCCCGGACCCCCGTCCTCTCATGGTCGGGGGTTTTCAACATGTGGTATCGTTCACTCACACTGTGTCACAGCCGTTCCAGAGCGAGACCTTTCCCACCGACGCAGCGCTGATCAAATGAAACATGTGTGAGAGAGAGAGGGGGGGAGGGTGGGAGAGAGAGGGAGAGGGACAGAGATAGAGAGAGGGAGAGAGAGAGGGAGAGGGACAGAGATAGAGAGGGGGAGAGAGAGAAATATAGAGAGAGGGAGGGAGAGAGAGACAGCGAGAGGGAGAGAGAGGGAGCGAGTTGGAGAGATGGAGAGGGGGAGAGAGAGACAAACAAAGAGACAGATATAGAGAGAGAGGGAGGGGAGAGAGACAGAGAGAGGGAGAGATAGAGAGAGATAGACAAACAGAGAGAGATTGAGAGAGACAAACAGTGAGTGGGAGATAGAGAGAGAGAGAGAGAGAGAGAGAGAGAGAGAGAGAGGGAGAGACAGAGAGAGGGAGAGAGAGGGAGAGAGATGGAGAGGGGGAGACAGAGACAAACAGAGAGAGAGATATATATAGAGAGAGGGGAGAGAGACAGATAGAGGGAGAGATAGAGAGAGATAGACAAACAGAGAGATAGAGAGACAAACAGTGAGTGGGAGATAGAGAGAGAGAGAGAGAGAAGGAGAGACAGAGAGAGGGAGAGAGAGGGAGAGAGATGGAGAGGGAGAGACAGAGACCAACAGAGAGAGCGATATAGAGAGAGCGGGAGGGAAAGAGAGAGAGAGGGAGCGATAGAGAGAGAGCTAGAGAGAGAGAGACACACAGTGAGTGGGAGATAGAGAAAGAGAGGGAGAGCGACAGACAAACAAAGATAGAGACAACCAGAAAAAGATAGAGAGAGAATGGGAGAGAGACAAACAGAGAGATAGAGGGAGAGAGAGAGAGAGAGAGATAGCGAGGGCTATTGTTGTGCTGTGGAAATATAAACATGGGAATAACTGATATTTTGATTACTACTTTGATTGTGTTGAAACCACAAACAATTAAATAATAAATGAACTATAAAATTCATACAAAAAGCGATCACTGGTTTTCTCATGCATGTGTTGTTGGCTCCGTCACATTTTTAGATCTGCGTTTTCAGACAAAAAAGTGAAGAAAAAATGAGACCACCCTCTCTCAGCCAATCAGCTCTCAGTATGAAAAATAAACATTGGTTTCTAGGGCGACAAAGACAACATGGTGTGTACGGATTAGTTCACAAAAAACAAAATGTATTCATGAAACTCAAAAGTTAGGGACATCAGCTTTAAAGTCATACAAATATATAAACTACAACTACTACCACTAAATGTAAGTACAATCTAAAGCTAGAACAACTTATTTTAGCAATATATTTTCAACAATTTTTTTTAACCGGTTATAAAATTACTAATTCAAGAAAGATTTTGTTTTCTCTCAATAGGAGTTAAATCTGTAAACGCTCATTTTTACTACGCATTTTGACCAATAAATCTGGACGGGTTTATAAACAGTATATCTACAGACTTAAAATAGGGCCCTGTGAGTCACTATTTGACTATTTGAGCTGAGAGCTGATTGGCTGAGTGAGGGTGGGCCACTCTTTTCCACAAAGAAGCTGATCTCAAAATGTGACATATAACTAGCAACAGAGCTACATGTACAATTAGGCACCCCGGCTTTACCCAGTACAGAAGCAATCGTCTCATTGCTGGTTCATGACATTTGTCTGTAAATATTTTTTTCTCCAGCTGATAACTGATGGTCAAGAATGTCCCTGTTTAGACCTCCTTAAGCCTTGGAACTATCTGAACCTCCTTTTTGCATAAACAGTCTCATTTCTCTACAACCGAGGATGTCTTTGCTTAAATCTGTCCCTAGTATAAAAAACAGTTCCCCACAGAAAGAAAACTGTTAACTGTCATGCTTTTTATTACAGATTTTGTATATATTTCTTTCTCTATTCACACACATACAGACCAGCCAATAAGAACTAGTCCCTATGTACAGACCAGCCAATAAGAACTAGTCCCTATGTACAGACCAACCAATAAGAACTAGTCCCTATGTACAGACCAACCAATAAGAACTAGTCCCTGTAAAAAATTTGATCTGCATTCTGACGGTAAAAACAAAAACAAATTGACAACACGATTAGGAGAGATAAGCAAATAAACATGGCCGTAATGCACAATTAACCTTGCATATTGCTTCATACGTTTAAATGAGTTCTTTCTAATTATGTATTCTGGAGCCATAAGACATTTTTTTATGGCGCTTTAAGAAATTAGGAGATTTCCCACAAGATACGATGTGTGAATATTAAGTAAAGACAGCTCTATACATGAAATGAGGTTTAGCTGTAGTTTTTTTTACTGTCTAAGTCTAAGGTTCCTGGTTTGAATTTACCTGATTTTAACCAAGAGCTAAAAAAAAAAAAAAGTTTCTTCAAGATTCCTTCAGATTTCAAGTTCCTATAACATTTAGTTAAGAAAACCTGGACTTTTTAATGTTGCAAAACAACCGTGGGTCCATTCACAACACTATAAAAACTGTAAACAATGATCCCAGACTAAACACACAACAAACAATAAAAAAATATGAAGAAATAATTGCTTGAATTGTGTGTTTTTTAGGATTTGCCAAGAATACAAAGCCATTTAGTTGCTTTATGTATAAGGGAGATATTTCTTGTAACTTTTTAGAACAATCAACATTTTGCTTTTCCCGTTTGCTAATCTTGTTTTAAGGCAGTCAAAATGTGCTCATATAAATATACACTAAGCCAAAGTTGAGCAAATTTAGATTTTTTAGCACTCTTTTGCAGTGCAACAAACATCTATATAAAAAAATAGCAGGGCCTAAAAAAGTTGCCGAAAAATCCTGAATGACATCACCTTACCTCGGCTCAGAGCGGACAGGTGACGGCAACACGCGCATTTTTGCACACGGACTCTGCTGCGGCGGAGGTTCTAGGGCACTCTATGGTTTCTGTGTCTAAAGAATCATCATGGAGAGAGGGAGAGAGAGAGAAGGACAGAGGATGGAAGGAAATATGATGCAAAGGGGAGGAGGAGGTCACATAGTCCTCTTCTTACATCACTCCATTGCTCTGCTCCGTCCAGCGCCAGGTCCAGAAAGCCAAATAACATCTGCAACCCCCCCCCGAACTCACACAAACGCTCCGTGGACATGGCGTGGCAAGAAAAGGCTCGAAACACCATTCATTCAAGAGGATTGAGTTAGCTTGTTATGGGATCATGATAACGCTAATGCTAACTTGGTGTCTTGGTTAAAGCTGGGGTATCTAACTTTAACCCTTTAATGTTTTCTTCGACCATTTGGTGTAGACTTGAAGCTTGAAAATGAAATCTATACCTCTTGGGGCATCTCACTTGGTTTTAGAGTCTAAAACTGCATCTCAATAATTTAGAGAAAAAGGCCTATATGATGAAAAAAAAACAAAAACAAAAAAACTAGGGGTTGAAAAATAGAACAAAAACATAAAAACATCAGAAAAAATGATGTTTAGTGAATATTAAAGGGTAACCAAGCAGATTTGATTTCAATGCCATGCAATTATTTATATGTTTTTATTTGTGGTTACTGCTTATCTATGGTCAATTTGACATTATTATTTTATTTATTATTATGTATTTATTTTGGTTCTTTTGTGATGTACTTATATAAACATTTGTCTCTGAGTCTCTTGTTTTGGTTATGTATTGTAACTCGTCATGTACAAAATTAAAATACTAATGAAAAATGAAGTCTTTTTTTGTATGTGTATGAACTGTGCTATACAGATAAATGTGCCTTGTCTTGTGTTGTTCTTATGTCTCAAAAATAGTAGTTCTAATAAAAAAGTTGTTATTTATTACCACAGATTTCGCCTTTATAATGTGACTTCTTGTTTTTTTTGTTAGATTTAAAAAGCTAAGCAGGGCAGGCCCAGATAATACCATGATGGGAGACCTCTATACACCAGGTTCTGCAGTAGAGTGCCTGTTGTGTCCTTAGACAAGACACTTAACCCACTTTCGCTTGTATGAGTCTAGGGAATAATCAGTGGTGGTTTGCAGGGGCTGATGGCTTGGTTTGGCAGCATTGCCTCCATCAGTCTACCCCAGGGCAGCTGTGGCGACAGTGGTAGTCTACAGCCGCTTTGAATGATGTCATATGAAGTGGGTTTTGTGTCCCAAAGAGCTCTGTATGAGTATGATGCATTATTCTTATGTAAATATATAGTAACCACAAAGTAGGGCCCAGGCTCTTCCGTTCACATTATAATGATGGAGTGATAAAAATAAAAAACAACAAAAAAACACCTGTATCTTGTTGAATGATTGTTCAAACTGTCAGATGATATATTTTCTTGTTTAAATTTTAATGTTGATCTCGAACATCCTAATTAAATGTTATTCCAACAAAGCCGGCAGCCTATAGATGTGGATAACGCAATAAAACAGCCCTTTTGTTTCTTCATTTGTGCCAAAATTACGAAGCAACACTGCTGAATCATCACATGTGAGCAATGGTGTCTTGATGAGATGGTAAAACAAGTGGATTTTTGCAAAAGAATTCTTTGGCAAATCAACATCTATTGTTTTACTTTCGCAACAACCCAACCCAAGCCCAGCGGATTCAATGTATCAACCCATTATTCTGCTCTGGTCCAGAATCCAAAAATACAATAGATCCAAACCGTGTCAGATTTATGTCTAACACTGTTCTTGAGTATATTGTTGGGGGATTTTGACTTGAAATCTTAAGCATTCCCCAAACCTCGATAAACCACTGTTTTCATCTCTGATTTTCCCATTTCCTGCTTTGGGAGCGGCTCGGCCTAAGTCCAGATGGGGCCCCGAGGCCGGATGCACCGCGACCTCATGGGTACCACCCCCCCTCCTCCCCCTTTCTCCCATCCACACACCACACCCAGCGGACCCGGGGGTGCAATGAAGGACACCCACATTCTTATTTTCTTATTACAGATTATAGGATGATTCTTGTGTAATGCTGAAACTAGATATTTTACTTTATTTAGAAGAGTTTAGTATAGAGCTTAATTATAGAGATGTATTGTCTAAATATATTAAAAGAGAAACATTTATGCAAATCTCCAACCTATATTTTAAGTTTCAAATGTATTATTATTATTATGGCTATAGTCAATTACTGTATATTGTATGAACTGAAATTCTTATGTACGCTCCAAAAGTACTGACCTGGAGTTGTCTTTAGGTCCATCCATGCTAACACAAGACATGTCTGGCACAAATATGTAACTCCGCCCCCTTCTGTCTAAAAAGGTATAGATCACTTTTGTCAATTTCTCAGGTGAAACAAGTTCTTTACAACTGCACAGTGGTTTATGCGGCCAAAACAAATGCAACTGCCTCCGGTGGTAACATAGACGGATAGAATTTTTTTCCCTTCATACTTGTTTTACCATATATTTTATAATAACGAGTATATTTCACATTAAAAAAATAAAATAAAATAAGTGAATAGTCTATTATTCATGGGAAAAAATAATGCATAATATTTCTGTTTTAACTGTGAGATATTTTACAGGTTAAAACACCGTCTGCTGGATACAAAGTTGCAAACAATATTCAAACCACTGCAGCTCAAGTCCTAATTAGAACCAGGAGGTCTGAGCACATTAGTCCAGTTCTCAGGTCTCTGCACTGGCTTCCTATACCCTGAGGAGCACAGGGACTGGCCTCCTACTGGTGCCCAGAGTCAGGACTAAACATATGGAGCCAGCATTTCAGATTCATGGGTCAATCTGGAAGAGTCTTCCTCAAAATGTGAGACAGGCTTCTACTCAGACAATGTTCAAATCCAGGTTAAAAACATTTCTGTAGCTGTGCAGAACTGAAGGGTTGAATTTTCACTTTTTCTAATGCACTGTGAGCATTTATGATTTGACTGCTATTCTTGTTTAATCATGTTTTGTTAAGCACTTTGGCTATGAACTATGCTATAAATAAACTTGCACGAGCTTCTGCATCGAGGACACTTTCTATACAGTGACCTGGCTTTCCGCAAACTTGCTTCCCCTACATCTTTCTTACATGACCTTTTCTTTTATATATTTCTTACATGAGTCTTGTCGTCCTCTATCTCCTATACAGTTTCAGTGTACTCTTTTTGTCAGTTTTACATAATATTTCTGAAAAAACTAAAAAAGTGTGGGTTAGTGTGTAGTATAACACACTAATCTGTCATATAGATTCACGCTGCTGAATACTCACTCAATTAATCATGATGTGAACAACACACATAAATATTCATCTCCATGTGTTCATTCATTGACTCATTAACTCGAGTGTGGTCAGTCCATTTCTTCCACGACCACTCGGGGGCAGCGTGGAGCCCCGGTGGTGCGCATGTGTTTGGTCAGAGGTCGTACCTTGAACCCCTTGGTGCGTTTCTTGCAGCAGAGACAGGCCAGCATGAGGAAGACCAGGCAGAAGAGCGCACACAGGGACACGGCCACCACGGTGAGCGAGGACGACCAGGACAAGTCACTCAGAGCGCCGCCATCTGCAGGACACAAAGGGGAGTACAGGCTCAGGACAACTTACTTATATGTGCTTACTTAGGAATACAAGAATGTTTAAAGCTGGGGAACCTAACTTAATCTTTCCACACAAGTCAAACCACAGCATACTGTCTTCCTCCCTGTTCCCTGTGAGTGACTATTGGATGGTTTGGGCTGAGGCTGGTCCTCTCTTTTTCACTTTTACAACACTAGAACTCCCAGGATTCTGATTTACTACAACTCCCATCGCAGTAATTTCAAAGGCTCCCATTCTAACAAAATGAATTCTGAAAATATACTTAAACAATATTTTCACTACTTTAATTATTAAATTTAAGCAATTTATGTGTTATTTATCGTTAGTAAAAGCTAAAACTTGTTCATATATAATTTGAAATACAGCTATGGCAACTAGAGCTTTCCCTTTACCATAGTTTTAGTTCCCAGCTCAGTCCAGGGCTAGTCCAGGACCAGTCTAGTACCAGTCTAGGACCGGCACCTTGAGAAAACTTTTATTTTTCATAAATACAAGATTATCTCAAAAAAATAATTGCATAGAAATAAACTACAGATAGAAACAGAAAAAGTCACAAAGTTACGAAGACCAAAAATGCACATAAGCAGAACAAGTACTGTACGCTTCAAAAGAAACAAGCCGTCAAATTGACTGCTCTGGGAGTTCAGGAGTTAAGTAGAGCATCAGACTCTGCTCTTTGTGAATTAATATAGTGTCACATTGAGAAGGAGACTGCGCTGGAGAATGGCCGTAATCTAGACTGTAATAATTTATCTTTTTTTTCTTTTGAAACAACACATTTTGCAGCAACACAACGATAACGACTGAGGCTGAAGCCATTTCTTTCACATCCAATGGACTTTTCAAACACTGTTATTTGTGGAGACGCTGACACACTGTCGTCCTTGTATGTAAACAAAGATGTTAAGCGGCTCTGAGTGCTTTTGATTAAGTGCTGTTGCCACGGAGACGTCGCCGTGACGAGGGAGACGGAATTATCAAACACAAGCGTCTTCAGAGGTCAAAACATCTCAGCTTCAAACCAATGACTCTAACACATGCATGATTGGGTTATTTTTTGATTCTAAAATTATTTGTAAATATAAAAAGCCAAAGTGTAAGAACATTTGTTCATGGGTTCTCAATCTAGGGCGGTTTGGGATTTTAAAATGTTTCTTTGATTCATTGTTCATTTCTCTATTTTTTTGGTATGACAGTGAGTGTTATGACAGTGGTGTGACAAAGTGTGGCCACCCCTATCAATGTTGATGAATGTAGAGACAGTATTTCAGTTAAATATATCCTATAGAAGACTAACAGTAATATTTGTGAAATTAAGTCTGTATCATTTATAGAAAGTGTGCAAGAATGACTTAAACCAAATCAATCATGTGCATTGCATAGACCCCACCACAGCACTGAGACCGCTCTAGTGAAGGTAACAAACGACATTCGACATTTGGTCATGTTAGATCTTAGTGCCGCGTTCGACACTGTCGACCATGAGATCCTCATGCAGAGACTGGAGGACTGAGTTGGTGTCACTGGCACAGCCCTAGACTGGTTTAGGTCTTACCTGGAGGATAGGAAGTACTTTGTGGATATTGGAGACTGCGTCTCAGATCATGTGGCCCTGACCTGTGGAGTGCCACAGGGGTCGATCCTGGGACCTCTCCTATTTAATCTCTACATGCTGCAGTTAGGTCAGTTAATACAAAGAAACAAAGTGTCCTACCACAATTACGCTGACGACACTCAGATCTATGTCTCACTGACTGCAGGAGAACATGGACCAGTGGACTCACTCCTTCACTGTATCCAACAGATCAGTGAGTGGATGCTAAATAATTTCCTCCAGCTAAATGCAGACAAAACCGAAATCATTGTCTTTGGTCCCCAGAAACAAAGAGAGGGCGTCATTTGTCAACTTCAGTCTCTCTCCCTACTGCCTTCAGACAAGGTGAGAAATTTGGGGGTAATACTGGACTCAGACCTAAATTTCAATAGCCACATAAAATCAATAACATCAACAGCTTTTTACCATCTGAAGAACATTGCCAAAGTTAGAAATATAGTGTCCAGGGCAGACTTGGAGATTCTTGTCCATGCATTTGTCTCCAGCAGGCTAGACTACTGCAATGGCCTGCTCACAGGTCTGTCCAAACAGGCTGTAAAACAGCTGCAGTACATCCAAAATGCAGCAGCTAGAGTCCTGACAAGAACTAGGAAGTGCGACCATATTAGTCCGGTCCTCAAGTCTCTGCACTGGCTTCCAGTGGCTCAGAGAATAGATTTTATAACAGCTCTGCTTGTGTACAAGTCTCACCATGGCCTTGCACCAAAATACATTAGTGACATGTTGGTGTCATATGAACCGGCCCGGACTCTGAGGAGCACAGGGACTGGCCTCCTGCTGGTGCCCAGAGTGAGAACCAAACATGGGGAGGCTGCGTTTCAGATCCATGCAGCTAAGATCTGGAACAATCTCCCTGAAAATGGGAGAAAGGCGTCTACTCTGTCAACGTTCAAATCCAGGTTAAAGACTGTTCTGTTTGCCTGTGCATACAACTGAAGGATTTTATCTACATTTCTAATGCACTGTTGTCATTTTTTTTTTTTTTTTTTTTTTTTATTTCTTGTGTAATTTTGAAAGTTTTAATGGTTTTAATATTTTGTGTGATTTTAATGTTTTAATTGTGATTCTGGTGTTTGTTTTAAGTGATGATTTGTGATGTGGACTGTGAAGCGCTTTGTGTTGCCCTGTGTATGAAAGGCGCTCTACAAATAAACTTTGATTGATTGATTGATTGATAAAAGTAGGTCCTTATTTATTTGTATTAATTTCAACAATCTTTAGCACTCACTATTGGAACGCAAAATATGTTGGCTTCCTCAGTGCCCAAATGTTTTCAAACGACTTTATATTTAGAGTTTTAGATTGAAATGTATTTAGTCTTTAGACCCATTACATTTTGACCTCAGAAACATGATGTAAATAAACAGTCAAATGGTAGAGCCCTGAGCCTTTATAGATAGGAAACCGCTAAAATCAGAAAATATGTCCATATAAATCTGTATCTTATATTGACAATTATGCAACATTTATTGCATTTTTCCATTTCCATGCATTTTATTTACATTATCCTTTTAAACAATGTGTCATTATTGCATTAAACTGTTTGATTCTCTTATTTGTTGTAGGCGAATCGACAACCTTGTTAAGTCCTCCGAGTGCCTCCCAGCTGCTATTGTGACTACAAAAGAAACTGAAATGAAAAAAAAAGTATATTGAATTGAACACAAGACATAAACAAAGAATTCAAGGAGACACACTCTTTCCATATATTATCATTATTATTATTATTATTATTATTATTATTATTATTATTATTTTTATTCAGATTTATTTATGTGGATTTGATTTGAGTCTGAAATACAGATCAAAAACGCATGAGGTGCTGTCTGTCTATGACTCAGTTTTCTCTATTTCTGCTGGTTCAAAAGTGTGGTTTTCACACATTTACTGTATATATATATTTGGAACGGTTTATGGCGCAGTTTCTCTCCCGTTCGACGCCAGCAGCACGTACAGGCAGCAGAGACACTTTTTTGCCTTATCGTGCGCTGAATCACGAAGAGGAGTTTCTGTCCACGTCTGGTTTGAAGCTCGGAGGCGGCGTGTGTTTGTTCTGAGCTTTCATCTGTGCACCAGTTTTTATTTTTAAACGCAGCACACACTACAGAAACATGCACTCCTTCACCTCACGGCAATGAAAACACTGCACTTCTCCAATTTTGGAAAATGCATTAAAAATATCATTATTTTGTATGTAGTTAAAACATGTTGATAAATGTTCTTAAAGGTGCTCTATGTAATTTTTTTCCGTTGCTCTAATTGAAAAAACATTTTAACCAATAACAAATGTTACCTTTTTAAGAATATTTACCTCCACCATGTTTTGAATTGTTATCATAGGGTTAGAAATTGACTCAGAAATGTCCATGAAAGCTGGACATTGCGCCATCTTGAAATACAGTGGTTAATAAGGGACAAAAAGGAGTTTGAGCGGGAGTTGGGGACCACTGTCAAAGACGACGTATCCTCCATAAAGTAAAAACTACAGTGTACCTTTAAATTTCAATATGAGCAGCATTTACGGATATAATCATGTTGGAAAGTAAAAAAAAAGTATAAAATCATTTGTTAAGAAGTTACTGTATGATTAAAATTCAGATTCTAACCTGCTGTTTATGGCCACTACATTATGCATGGGTACAGATTATACTGGGCTCAGAAGTGGATCAATCTAAGAATGATGAAAAAAAAAAATTTTACATAATAAAGTTAATCGAGGTTGTTTGGTTCTTTCAAGTTTCACTGGAAAATACCAGTCTTGCCCTTTTCCCGATCAAAAACAAAGCACCAGGATGGGAAAAAAGTTTATAGTGTATTGCCCAAAGGAATCATGCATGAATCAATCAACAGTTATGGGTTGGCAAACGAGAAGTGGAAACCATCATAATGAGTTTCACATACGATAAAAGTTAAGATAAGATAAGAATACTAAAGTATGTAAGTAAGATCACTCAGGGTGTGCAAAAAGACAGGAAATGTGCAAAAATATCAGTGAAAATATGTTGATTAGATTTTGTGCAGTGCGAGTTTTTACTGTACATATAAAATGAGTTTAGGCTCTGTTGATGTTTGATGTGGTAATCTGATGGTGTTGTTTGGGTAGTTTTGGTGACAGCAGGTCCGCAGATGGAGCAGAGGAGGTCACATCTCTCTCCTGGATCTGAGTGAGTCTGTGAACGTGTCTGCGGAGGACAGCTGCCCCCGAGATTACGCCCTGTTTACAGTCAGATTAGCAATATACACACAGCGCAGCCGCTCATTTGGTAATTGGAAGGCTTTTTGATTAATTCCTATTTTTCACGCTCATTTACATGATTCAAAAGCTTGTGGCCACAATCCCCAAAAGATTA